AGACAGAGATGTTGAAGTGGGGAAACCATACGAAGACGAAGATGGTATAACAATTGTTCTGTAAAAGAACCAACATATCCTGAAGTTAGCAGAGACTTAAGTTCTGTTGCAGATATTCGAAACGACTACCAACAACTGAAAGACAAACTTCAAACTCAGGAGAAGATTTGTCAAGCTTTAAGTATAATGTTAAACTTGGTCGAACACAACCCTGTAAAAGTGAACTCATATGTCATTGCACCTCATGAAGTTTTGAAAGAACTATTGAAACTTTTGACAGAGGCAGACGATATAAACATCAAAGAAATAGAACCCGACATTAGTTGCTGTGGTGTTTCATATAATGCCATTGACAAGATATACGTTATGAAAGGAGGTGAAACGTTGAACTTAAAATATAGTTTCCCAGACGTTATAAAAATATTTGACGACCACAACATTTCATTAAAATTTATTTGCTAAGTAAATGGCAGAAGACATAATGGTTTATACTATTACGACTAAAAACCCTGAGTCATATAATTCTATAACAACGAACTTACAAAGTCCTCAAGGACGATATTGTAAACTAACCTTAAACACAATGACGACTAAAGCCTGTTTTGCTCTTTTGACACCAGAAGACTTTATTGTTGTGAATGGTAAAAAATACTCCTTTGAAGATACTTACTCAGATATACCACCAACAGGTTTTGTTGACTTATTTAATACTTTAAGTACGGGTGTAACATGTGCTGCAACTAGAGCAGGTTTCATTATGTTTGGATGTCCGACTGAGTTTACTATAAACGATATGAGCTATAATACAAAACTTATTTCTGGTTTTTACTACCAACAGTTTCCTATAACAGGAAAAGGTGTCATACAAGGAATGTCTATTCCATTGACATTAAGCACACCAATCTTATATATTGTTTCAAACTTAGGTTCAAAGTGTTATTCGAATGTCGACAGAAACTATTATGACCAAAAGATACTTATGCGTATAAACAATACTTTCTCTGCTGGTTTGCCTATTGTTCATTCGAATGCAGAATTTTCAACCTTAGTGAACTCAAACACTTTGGCAAGTATAACGTTGACATTAGTTGACGCAAACTTTGTTCCTGTAAAACTTTTATGTCCTATGTATTTGTCAATGACGGCAGAAAGTTTCGAATTGGAAGATGCAACTGGTGAAAGTATTGTATTACAAGAACAACTTCAACAACAAATAGCTCAAGAACAACAAATGCAACAAATGCAACAACAAAGTCAAGAATAAAAAAATAATATTTTTTTTATTTTTATAAAAATGTACAGAATAGATGTTTCAGATTTTTATGACTTCCAAGCATTCAGAAATATGTGTCCATTTAGAGACTATAACAAAGCAGTCGAGAATTTGAAACGTTTAGTCATTTATGTTGACTCTGCCCCAGAATGTTATGTCATGAAAGAATGGGATGTTGTCTTTAACAAACCAAGAGCAACAATAGTGTCCGAACAAGAATGTAGACAGAAACTTAAGAAAATAAAAGTCGTACAAGTTGGCATGAAGATGTTAGATGCTTGGGATATCTTATTGTCAAAGTTAGAAGATTTTTCAGTTCGAGGTATAAAGTTCTATACACCTTCTCCAAACTTCTATTCTATCTTCACTGGATATAAATATGAACAAGTAGAATGGAAAGAAAATATTATAGAAGCTTGGTTAGACCATGTCAAAGAAATTATATGCAATGGAAACGAAAAGGTTTATGAGTATATCTTATGTTGGTTTGCAAACATCTTACAACATCCAAGTGCTAAAAATGAAACTGCTCTCATTATAATTGGAAAACAAGGAACAGGTAAGAACACATTCTTTACAGATATCTTGTGCAAACTGTTAGAAGGTTATTCGAACCCTAATATGACAAACTTAGAAAACATCTGCGGTAAATTTAACTCCTCAATAGAGAATATGAAACTTATAGTTTGCAATGAACTTCAAAGTATAGATACAACAAAAGTTTTAAACTCAGATGCTTTGAAGAGTCTTATAACAGACAAAGTTGGAGTTGTTGAAAGAAAGTATAAAGACCAAAGAGTTTGTGAAAATGTTGCAAACTTCATTATGGTTTCAAACAATGCTGTTCCGATGAAGTTAGAAAGTTCTGACAGAAGATATGTAGTTGTCAGAACGTCAGATTCTCATATGCAAGATACAGAATATTTTGACGACTTAGCAGAAACTTTGACACCAGAGTTTTACAACCACTTGTTCTCATATTTCATGACATCAGATATTTCTAAGTTCAATCCAAGACAAATTCCACATACCGAAGAGAGACAAACATTGTTAGAAGCAAACAAGAGTGTATATGAACTGTTCGTAGATGAAACTGACTTTGTGTCATTAGATGAAAGGTCTTTATATGATTTGTATAAACAATATTGTCAAGAATATGGTTATATGGCAGCTTCTAAACGAACATTCTTGGCAAATGTCAAAAGTCTTTTAGATGTTCAGAATGGTGTATATACAAAGAAAAATTTTTCTGAGTAAATTTAAAAAAAATATTTTTTTATCCGATAGAAAAGATGGCAAAATTCATCTCAGTAAACAAGTACATGTCAGGACTTAAAGAAGAACTAGACCCATTCACATATTTGAATGTTTACTTCTACCATTTTGAAAAGTCTTCATTCAGTAGTGATGCGAAAAATTCCCAAACATATGGGGTTTCTCATATCCCGTCCCTTATCGTTTCCCCAATTCAATTTTTTTTGGAATTTTATTTTTTTTCCTGCCCATTTGAATTAAAAATGGGCGATTTTCGTTAATGTGATTGAAATATCATAAAATTAATACGTATTTTAGCTAATAATTCTATTTTTATACAATATTCTCTCATTAAATCAACATTTTTTTCTAATTTTAATTTTTAATTTTTAATTTCTTCATAATTTTAGCGATTTATGCTCATTATTAGCAAATAAATAATATATATAATATACTTATTTCATTTTATTCAGATAGGTCTTTGGGATTGGGATACCTTGTCCAAATTCAGAGGAAGTTTGAGAGGTTGGGATGGGGTAGCCCATATTCAATTATCCCAAGTGTACTCCACGAATTTAAAATTATATTATATTATTGATGACATATCTAAATTTATAGATAAAAATTTCAGTGCGTACACAATTTTTTTTGAGAAAATTCTTTTTTTTACTTATTTTCATTCATAAAAGCTCACGTGAACTTAATTAACAACTGAGACATTTCCTATGAAATCATTTAATGCCGTCAAAATAGACATGTCTAAGCTGTTTTGAGTGACTTTCGCTCGATGTCTGATGCAATATCAGACATCGAGCGAAAGTCGCTCATATTGGCAACACATCCATACGATCAATACTATAGCTACGAATTACAAGCCTGTTTGGGCAATTTTTGGCCGAGTTCTGATTTTTCATTAGATCTCGAGCGAAAGTCTCTCAAATTGGCTGCCAGTTCATAAGAGTGAAACTCTAGCTACGAATTAGAAGCTTGCTTGAGAGACTCTCGCTCGCGTTGGGATCTGCATCAGAACTCGAGCGAAAGCCTCTCAAAGTGGTAAGACCTGCTCATTGTTGAGCAGGAGCTGCGTAATGTGTTCGAGCAGAGTGAGGCTCTTCTAAGATCTTCCTTGTGATTGGAAGAAATTAGAAGAGTCTCACTCTACTATTTTGTAATTGTATGCCCCGGCCTTTGAGTGACCAGGGCTGCGTAATGAATTCGAGTAGGATTGTACAATAGCTCGGCAAACGCCGAGCAAATTGATATAAACGTACATCCCACAAAAAATGGATTGTCAAAATTTATCCCAAATTTTACAAAACCGCAGCGGTTATGACATCCCAGGGCTAAAAAAATTCGGATACTCGCATCTCTAACCTTGAGGTGGAAATTGGTAGTAATTTGGTGGAGGTACTTGCTGGAACTGAGGTTGCTGAGGAGACTGTTGTGGTTCTGCAGCTTTCGGTTCTTCTGGCTTTGGAAGGCATTCAGGAAGAGGAACGTCAGTCATCCGTTTGTGTCCTGTCGGAAGGAAAAATTTTTCCTGTCGGAAGGAAAAACTTTTTCTGTCGGAAGGAAAAGTTTTTCTGAAGTTCGACCAAAAAGTTCTCAATTTTCGAAAATTTGAATGGTTTACGGACGGACAACTGGAAGAGTTCTTCCTGTCGGAAGGAAAAATTTTTCCCTTTGTCGGGAAAATATTTTCCTGTCGGAAGGAAAGATTTTTCCCTTTGTCGGGAAAATATTTTCCTGTCGGATGGAAGAACTTGGAATGCACGAAAGACTTGACGAGGCAATTTACCTAATTGAAATTAACGACTGCGTAAAAGACTACTTGCGCAAGGTAATGAAGCCCAAGGTCAAGTTCACCACTATTTCTGGAAGGTCTACACTTCAGCTCGAGACTTCGACTGGAATTCCAATTCAAATACCAGACGGGACAGCCTACGATGGCATAAAGGACGCCAAAAGAGAAGCTCTTGTTAAGTTCCTAAACAAACGTCCTTGGATAAAAATACCAAACAAGGAGAACCCCCTACCCCATATGAAATTGGCAATTCAGTCTCTCCTTCACTTCTCTGGTCAGCCGTTCTACATAACCTGTGAAGGCGACATTCAGCCAGTTCAGTAAACATCTCATTTTAACTTCACTTTTTTATGTTTTTACTCACACTCGTACTCAACAGGTTTGTGTACAACTATTTCAACTGTGAACCTTGTATTGACCGGTCTTCCTGCAAATGCAAGTTCGGTCAATACACAATTTATGGTGGCAAGAAGGACAGTGGGGAATGTTATTCTGACATCTGTTGTTGCGCTCGAGAGAGATTTGAAATTTCAGAGCCACCTCCCCCAAGAACTCCAACACCAACACTCAAGTTGCCAAAGACTCATGTGAAGAAGAAGCCTTCTGGTAAGTTTCTTATAGCCATATACATGGCACGCTTTGAGTAAAAACATTTTTTTCATTTTTTGAATGAAGCAAGTTAAATTCGTCCCACACCAATCTCAATGGACCGATGAAGAGTTTCAAGCTATGGTTGAAGGCGTTGAGAACGACATAGACGGCGAACTTGAAGGAGCTCAAACCACAATTGCAACCAAAATTGCACAAGTCAAAGAAGAGATAGCTCCACTTAAAGCTACCAAAGCTACTCTTGACCTCATGGATACTTACCGTTTAGATGTCAAGAGAGGAATAAGACAATTAAAATTAAAACTCTTAAATTACGAAGCTATACTCCAGAAGTTAGCAGAGATGAGAAGACTTTACCAGAGCTACTTACATGTAAGGGACTTACCTTCAAGCAGTCCGACCAAAGATGAATTTTCTGACATTGTCCCAATTTTGTCCGAAAGTCAGCTCAGATGTTTTGAACTGCTCCCAACATAACCAGAATATGAACGTTTGCCTGAACTCTTCCGCAATCTCAAAAAACGTTTTTTGGTTCTCATGTTCGAAACTTTTATCGGAAGAGACAACAAACGTTCAGAAGAAGAACAAGATATTATTTTAAACTTGTTGTATGACATAACTGTCATAACAAGCTTTTTGAAGTAAAACCGCCATTCTCAAACCACTTCATTTTTTCGATGTCCGAACAAGCACCGAAGCCGAACACAATAGCAGATGTCCTTTCAAGGTTGCCAGACAAGCGCCCAGTTCAAATTCAAATTGCCCAATTGAAAGCTCATCTGACAAACACCATTAAGACTCTCCAAAGTAGTCTTATGACAGAGATTACCAATCTCAAAGCCGATGTCCTCATGAACCAAGCTTCCAATGAGACATGCCTGAACGATTTCACGGAAACCTTGCGCAATTACGAGAGAGAGAACCGAGACCTTGCCAGACTCATCTACCGTTTCTTCGAAGAGATAGACGCCATCTGGAAGGTACTCGGAAAGGACAGAACATGCAACACCGTACTTCGTGAGTACCAAATTGAAGAAGGAATTGTCGAGGAAGAAGAGGAAGAAGAGGAAGAAGAGAAACACGAAGAAGTTCCTGAAGCCGCTACATGGGCAACCCTTGTTGCCGATGACGGTTACGAAATTTCCCAACCCTACCCATACCAAATCCGCAACAAGGAGACAGGCAAGGTTCTTACCCCAGTCCTCAACAACTTGGGACACTTGAACCTTAACCTTCGGAATCGCGGTTCAATCTCCATGGGCAAGCTTGTCGCAATTCAATGGGTTCCAAATCCAGGCAAGAAGACGAAGGTCAGACACATTGACGGTGACAAGCTCAACAACCGTAAGGAGAACCTCGAGTGGTTCTAAGAGTAAAAAAATTTATTTTAGGGGGAAACCCCAAGTAAATTTAAGTGTTTAGTTGGATAAGTAGGCACTATTAATGGTAATTTGGAAAATTAGCTCCCGACCTTTGAATTGGGCTCTTTCGTTATCCCAGTTGCGTAGGAGGTCGTCCCAGAGGAGTTGGTAGAATTGCCAATTCAAGGACGATTTGTCCTCCCAGGCATTGAGGATGTACTGCTCGTAGAGTCTCATGACCTCTGCCTTGCACCAGACACCCTCTCCCTTGGAACGTAAGGCTTCTTCGAAGTGCTCGAATGCGATTGGCTGCTTGACCATCCGAAATGACACTTTTTGTCCGTTTGGTCAATGTTCGTGTCTCGTGCCATAGTCGACGAAAATACAGACAAACAGGTTATATATGAGTTTGAGACCAAGAATGGTGTAACTCGACCTGCCCGATTCAAAGACTCCGAGGGCGACCATGAAATTAAACGGAAATTAGCTAGGAAGGAATATAAAATGGACTGGTTGCCACCACCTCCACCTCCACCACCTTTACCTGTTCCTCAAGTAAATAAGCCTTTCCCGTTCCCAAGAATTCCCACATTTTAATTCAAATTCGAATAAAAATTTTTTATTTCATGCAATGTTTAACTATTTCACCATCTTCTTTAACACCCCAGTACTTACGCTTGGAGAGGACATGAACTTCGGTGAAAATTTTGTCCAATTTGAATTGATCCATCTTCTCACCGACTAAACCCATTTCAATGAGTTTGTTGTATCCTTCTTCGTTCGTCATGAGTGCGTCAATGTTCTCATAGTAAACCTTGACTTTCGATTTGACTTCCGAGAAGAACTCATTGTAGTTGTCAAGGACTGCCTTTGCGAACTGAGGGTAAGACCAATGTTCGACAATAGGTTTTAATGTGGTTACTAAGCCACTTTGACCTTGAGTGAATTCGTACTTCAAAACAAAAGGAGAAAACCTTTCAACAAAGTTGTCGACCTTCTCATAATGTTTACTCTTCATCTCTTGAGGTTTCTTAATGGAATATCCCCATGTCGAATTCATAAGCAATTTGAGTGTCATTGCAAGTTTGGGGTTTGAAGCTTTCCTAATATCATACAGTTGTTGTATGACTTTTCCAACTGTATAGTTCCTTCCCGGGAACTCACCATCTTCGTTTGGAATTCCAGTCGGAATATATTGGACAAACCTCATGTATGCAGCGTTAAGGTCGACATAGTATATCTTTTCATCTGAGTCGAACTTGTCGCAACCAATTGGTCCAGTTTGTGGAAATTCAAGTGAGTCTCTTATCTTCTGAGAAACTTCTCCTGTTATCTCATAAACATCGTCGAAGCAACCTGTTTCATATAAAACCTTCTGACCTAACTCAGATGCTCTCCAATACAATTTGACGTCAACTGGATGTCTCAATGGAAGTTTGTATATAGCATCTTGAAGTTCTTGCAACCTCATTGGAAGTTCTTCTGGTTCAGGTTGGTATCCGAACATACCAACCCCTTGTGGAACTGTGTACTTCTTTTGTACTAGAACTTTGTCTGGAACAACTTTTGGTCTTGCTAACAATGAAAAGTTTGTTTCGTCTTTTGGTACAAAAGTTTCTGTCAGCTTGTCATCTGGAATTGGTTCCAACAAACCTTTCTCGAAAAGAATGTTTACAGCTCTGACAATGTTGCACTTACTTTTACCAAAGAATGGGTTTGTAAGACTTTCGTTCAACATGAAGTGGTTGTGGACAATTACAATCTTCAACCATGGTAAGTCTTTGTCAACAACATAGTCGTCATGTGAAGAACCTTTAGCTGTAGGTATGTTGACTCGGATATTGACATTTGCCAACGGTGCAATTTTTGCCAATTGACCTCTGAGAATGTACCTTGTCTTCACGCATGACTCAAGATACTTCATCTTCTCATCTGTAACAAGACCAGAGTTCCTGAGACATGTAAGAATGCAAGGTTCATTGACAATTGTTTCAATTGAATTGTAAATTCCATACCTTGTCAAGTCAATGTCAGACTTATTTATGAACGGGAAGTATCCAGCATGTTGTCTGACTGCTTGAGGGTTAGGTTGGTACCATTCGAACTTGACACTTGCAATTCCTTCAATTGCATTCAAAATGTCTGAGTCGGAGTCAACCATTTGTTCTCTCTTTGTAGTCTTGAAAGCGTCAAGAAGTTTTGCGGCTGTTTGTTCATTGCCATGTGCATAGTAAATGTGACCATCCAAATCTGTTATGGTCAATCTGAGATTGTGTCCTTTCTTATTTCCGTCTTGAATTGCAGCAAGTACTCCCATGAAGCCTTCTTTGTTCTTTCCTTCGTCAAAGTTTACTGTAAAGGTTCGACCAGATGTAATTTGACTTCTAACTTCACGGTACTTTTCATATGCATATCTTGTTCTTTCCATGGGAGCATGTGCGTCTTCACCTTTTCCTTTTTTCCTTCTCAAAGGATGCAATTGTTCGTCATGTTTCCAGTAGAATCTGGCAAAGCCGTCGTGTCCTTCAACTTGAGGTTCACTAACATCGAAAGGCATGTCCATAAGACGTTCTTCTTCTAACCTCTCTAGTCTGTTTGGATAATTGGCACGTGCTGTTTCCAAATCCATTTCGTAGCGAAGACCAGACAATTTGTCATAGACTTTTATGGGTCTTCCCTTCCTATATTTAAAATTCTTCGAAACTCTCCAACCATATCTTTGTAACTCTGCTTTTATTCTAGCAGACTTTCTATCCATTCTATATGGGGGCATTTTTATAAAAATAAAAAATTTTTTTTCTTTACTTTACATAACCGCCTGCTGCCATAAGTCTTTGACGCCAACCCATACCAGCTAATGAAGGTTGACTTGGTTTAGTTTGGAAACTAAACTTTGGTTTTGGTTTATCTTCAGTTTTTGGTTTTTCTTCTTCTATCGGTTTTTCGTCACTTTTCGGTTCCTCTGACTTTACTTCACTTGCAGGAACAGTTGTGTCGTCAACATCTTCATAAATATCATATGCCATTTGTTTTTCTTTTCCTTTCAACTTTTTGTGTTTGTTGTAAAGTTTAGAATATTTCGACTCTAAGTCAATGAGATGTTCTATAATGAACTGTTGGTCAGTGAAGTAAACTTTTCCATCTGTTGTCTCGAAAGCTCCTTCAGACTTCAATATTTTATTTGTGAGAGTCTGTTTCTTTTTTGAGATACTAGCCGTTCCATTTCTATGAAAAGTGACTTTATAGTTAGGGTTTGTATTTCCAGACCTGGCACTTTCTATTATTGAATTTTTCTCTTCATCTGTAAGTTCTTTGACAGGTTTTGACAATGGTTCTGAACTTTTTGCTTGTGGTGTCAAATCTACCGTTTCAACTTATTCGGTCATTTCATCTCAGTAAAAAATTTTAGTTTGGTTTGTTTTCAACTGGTTGTTTAGGTTTTTTAAGTCGGTCTAAAACTTCCTGAGGTATAGGAAAAACTTTACAAACACGTGGTGTAACTGCTGGAAGCCGACAAATCCATCTTGAACTCATTTGTCTCAATGCTGTATTGTTCATTTCATCTCAGTAAAAAAATTTACATTCCCACGTTTGAGGCGGTTGAGGTTGGTTATTGTTTACCCACTGTTGTGCATGGTTATATCCTCTGTTAAAGAATCTTTCACCTTGGTCCATATAGTGTCCTGCTTGGTTATAGTAGTCATTTGCTTTGTTATAATAGTTTCCTGCTTGTCTTCCTACATTGTCCATCCATCCTTGAACTTTTCCTCTTGTTTCAGGATTTGGAATAAGAGTTGTTGCATCTCGTGCTACTCCCAACCTTTCTGTACAGTTTGTATAATAGGTTGTGCTTTCTCTTTAAGTATACCCTAATGTACTCAAAATCTTCCTTCCAACTCCAAATACACCTCTGGCTATTGTTCCCACTGCGGGTAAAAATCTGGATGCGACTCCTGCCTAATGCGCCAAATAAACCCATTTCTTATAGGGTAAAAAATGACGAATCCGAACAAGGACCCCTATGTTTCTAAAGCGACAAAGAAAGCACTCATGATAAAAATCTTTAGTTCAACACCAAATGCTTGGTTTATGGATATCTTGGAAAACATTCCGAGAGTTAGAACAGATGGAACCTCCATACTGGTTAATATTTGTTGGTCAAAACACAAGATACTGTGAAGCCATACATTATGGTCCAAAAATATTTTAGATGTGAAAACTGCTTTGACAATATTCGTTGACAAATACCATCCAACAAAACTTACATCTGACTGTGAAAGTTCTTTCAAATCAGATGATGTAAAAACTATCTGCGTTCAAAAAATGTAAACCAATATTTCATTGTCGACCAAAACCATTCTGCTCTTGGTGTCATTGACGGTTGTATAAAAATGTTAAGAGACTTAAACCAACCAAAGGTGGTGAAGCAAATGAAATGTCATATGACGACAAGTATAGGACACTTCTCCATGGCAAAGATGAGACAAGTTTTAAATATTTACAATAACCGTAAACAAAAAGGTTTAGGAAACCCTCCCCCGAAGAAATGAAAAACAACCCTGACTTAGAGAAAGACTATATATTTAATAATTAGTCAAAGAGACAAACAAGAAAGAATGCCGGGCTTCAAACTTCAGAAAGGTGACAAAGTAAAAATAGAAATACCTAACGCGACCCATATGAAAATACTATTGACTATGACAACAATGGGAACCGACAGGTACTCACATTCGTGTTCGTAAAAATAGAAGAAAGTATACAAGAGAATATTATTGAAGTTTTAGGCAAACATGGCAAAATGTACACACTGCAAGCAGAAGATAAAACTACTATTGCCAGACCTCGTTTCAAACTTGTCAAAGTTCAAGGTGGGATACTTTCAAAGACAGTTCCTAACAAATATAAGACAACTCCTGACGAATATGCTAAAGAAGTTGAAAATGACGACTAAGCAATTCTATACATGCGTAAACTGTCATGTAAGGTGGCATGTATTCTTTACTTTGTCCCGTTGTTTGCGTATATCCTGAAACGAAATGTGTATGGTTTCCTTCTCCCTGAGTGTCACTCCAGTAACAATTTATAGCAAACTTAACGTCCTCTTTAACATCAATCCTTTACCTTTTGTCATTCCTGACCAATCCCAATATCTATGCTTATGCCAACCTGCTTGAGATGTACTTAAATCTATGTAGTGACTGTGTGCAGGTAAATTTTCACACTGAAATCGTTTTACTTCCACCTGTTTCCTTTGAAGAGTTTGCACAATACAAAAACCTGTCGACTATTTGTTCCCATGCACCAACACCAAACATTACTTGAGGACCTCTTGCATCCATAGATGTATAAATAGAACCTATTGGGTTCATTAAATCAAACATATGAGATATTATAGGATTGTCTCTTTTGAACTTAAAATATAGTGCAACTATTTCAGGTTTCTTCTGGTTTGTGTCAGAATATTTTTTATAATATAATCTTATGTTTTCAGGGTAGGTAAAGTCTTGACTATAATATTTATTTCTGTCATCTGTATAATAAATATACTATTCTCGTTTTTTCTATTGCATTATATCTTTTATATCTATAATAATCTAAATATAATGTTAGCTTTTGTTCATCTACAGTGGTGTCTGTCGTCATCTCCATAGTCATAATAATATGGTGCTGGAGCTGGGTCAGGCAATGTCATATCTGCCATTTCATAAACTCTTAAATATTTTTTTGTTCGTCTCCATATAAGTTTAAGTAGCAGTTGTTGTCTAATGGAACTTTAACTTGTGTACCATTATTCTTTTTATAGCTTTCATACATTTCATTGTTATTTTTCGGAATGAGTTTACACCGTGTACCATTTTTTAAGGACTGTACCAACTGCCATCTAAAATATTTATTTCTTCATTGACAGAAAAGTCACCAACAATAGTTTCAATATTTTTTGTGTGTTCCTATCAAACTTTGGTATATTTCATTGACATATGTTTTATCTGCTTTCTTTTCAAGGCTAACGTTTAAGTCTGTTATTTCAGATATAGAATGTGTATGTCCAACGTCACTTTTCCTGTTTAAGGTTTCTTGTAAGTTTGTAATATTTGCAATGGTATGTGTATGTCCAACGTCACTTTTCCTGTTTAAGGTTTCTTGTAAGTTTGTAATATCAGATATAGAATGTGTATGAGTCTTATCTGCTTTTGTCTCTAATGTTTCCTTAAGACTTGGTATTTGGTTAATATAATGTATATGAGTCTTTTTAGAATATTCGTTTTCAGCTCTTGTCACTTCACTTGACATTTTATTGTCAACATATGTTTTGTCTGCTAGTTCAGGATGAGTATGTTCTTTTGTTGCATAAGCATTGTTAGCTCTTTCTTCTTCTTTGCTATTGCATCGTCTACATATTCTTTGTCAGCTTTGTTGTCAACATCTGCTTTCAAAAGAAGTTCATTTATAGGTTTCTCGTTTAAAGTTCCTTTTGTTGGATTTATACAGACAGTATGGTTCTTATTGTCTTGAAACAGAAACTCATCTGTCATTGGGTTTATTGTCAGTTTTAAGTTTCCTTCTTTCAATGACTCAGATATCTTAGAATAGTTTGAAAAGTTTGTTGTGTTCTTATTTAGAGCTTGCATAATGAGTTGTCGGTTGTGTTGTATTTCTCTCATAGACGCTGTTTCATTTGACATTTTTATTATAGATAAAATATGCTTCCAATAGAAAAGAAAATTCTAGAGTTGCTACAACTAAACCATTAGATGAACTTTTTACTAATGTCGGTCAAAAGTTTGAGACAGATACCGTAAAGCATGAAGGCTATCGTTTTGACTACCCATTAAGATGGTTAAGAGACCCATCTGTCACAAAAGCTATTGGCTTTCGAAGAATAAAGTTTGTGTCTGTAGAAGATAAAAGTTTTCCATTTATTGTAAGGTTTCATATAGATTATACATCTGAAGGGCAACGAAAAATGTGGGAAGAAATTGAGCTAATACAAGTTGACCTCTCATCTTCTCTACAGACTGCATTAAAAAATATAGAAGATAAAATAAATTCATGTTATGCAAAATATGCTGATGAATATGCGAATACCAATAGCACACTTTATGTGAGAATTGTATATGACAAACAAAATTCACAAGTGTCATTTCAAATCTACGAAGACAATCCAAATAAAGACGAACAAATATATACAGAATTCACTGCAATGTCATGGTATTATTTGCAAAGAATGTTAAATCAGAAAGTTGAACCTCCTTTAGCAAATATCTACAGTCGATATGCAAGAGATGAACCATATTTATTTAAAGATGTTTTCGACCAAGATGCTGTGATAGTTCATGCTTCATTTTCTGGCGCCCAAAACTCTTTCTTATGCTTGGCAAATGACTTTTACGAAAAACCTACAAAGTTATACGAACCACCAAGTGGAAGTATTTCAGACTTTCAAGTATGGTTTACTACAGATGGAAGAAAAAGAATAATTCCATTATACCATGCGTTTTACTTAGAACTTAGTTTCATATACAACTACTATCGAACGGTAAAAATATAATTTTTTAATACGGTTGAGGTGTTGGATTTGGTTGCCAACTAGACTGTGGTGCAGGTTCAGGCTGTTGTATAACAGGAGCTTGTTCTTCTGGTTCAGGGTCTTTAGGTATAATACCAACAAACTGACCTACTCTTTTACCAATATTTTTGACACCGTTCCATACTCCTCTTCCGACAGATTTTATTCCATTCCATATACCTCTTCCAACTCTTCTGAAGAAGTTTCCAATACTACTGAAGAAACCCATTTTACTACGTGTAAAAATCTAATGTCCGCCTAGTCTCTTACGTTTCCTGTTGAGTTCCATAGCATTCTTTAACTGGAGCTCATACATTCTGTTTCTCTCTGGTAGAAAACATATTCTGGGTCAACTCCTGTGTTCGCGTCATCTGCATAAAGTTGTTTATATCCACTTCAGGGTTTGTATAAAACTCTTTCCATCTCATATTTGCATACCATGGTGGCAAACCTAACGCAGCGTCATTTGACATGGCAGTTTGCATTTGTACATCTGTTGGTACTTGACCATAGTTTGCCATTGCAGTTTGTATTCTAACTTCATTTGGAATATTCTCTGGGTTTGGTTGTCCAGGTTGCTGTGCATTCGCTAAGTTCTGTGCGTCCATTTAATATTAGATAAAAATATCTCTTACGAGTACATATACTGAACATTTGCAGACATTGGTTCATCTTCATATTCTCTGTACTTTTCTGCCACGTCAAATAAATAAATGACACAATGGAAAAAACCTAAAACAAGTAGTCCTATTTCAAACCACATTTACTTACTAATAAAATTTCTTTGTTATGACACTTTCTCCGGTTTATAGGACCTCTCTCATATTCTATCTTGTCATATATAAACTCATAGTCATGTATGTCCTCTAACCATCTCATAACGGTTTCCAAACCACTTTTATCGGATGTAAAGTAAAAGCATGGATGGTTATGTATAACGTCTAAAGTTTCTAAAGAGTCTCTCAAAGTCCAGTCTACTTGGTATTGAAAATCCCATGTGTTATAGAACGGCGGGTCGAGAGAGGGTCAAAGTTGCTATTTGTCACTTTTCCACAAGAATATAATGGGGAAAAAGTTATCATATAGTTGATCTCATTCACTGAGGTGAGAGATGCATGTAGTGTAATGTGATAAACAGTGGGATTGCTGCTCTAAGTCCTAGGTTCGAGACACATTGGCTTCATTTTTCTCTTTTTTATTGACGTAAACTATTCAATTTTTGTGTTCTCCATTCAAATTTCAGAATTTTTTTTGCAGATTTCACGCTACATTCGAAGTTACCTTTTGTAACAACCACCACTGCCTACGAAAGATGAAAGTGTGTCACGATTTCACCCGGAAATCCGACGGTTGTTTAAGAGTATGCACTTTTGTCACCTACTCACGGCGGGTCCACTATAAAGAAAACATTTTCCTTGTCTTTATATTTTTCATACAACTCTGTCCAATGACATCTCACAAACTCTATACCCTCAATATATTTATCTATGTCCTCTTTGAAAACATTTGTATAGTTGAGATATAAAACTTTTGACATAAGTGTTTCAATGTCATGAACTCTTATAGCACCACTATATAATAGTCTAGCAGATATACTATCCCAGTCTATATATTCTGCTTTTTTCAAAACCTCTCTCACAATATTTTTCTTATCTAATGGTATACGTTCCATCTTACCTATAGGTATCTTTTCTTTTAACTATTTCAATATATTGTTTGTGTCTGGAATATGTTTGAGACGGTTCATATAGTTGTCGAAGTCATTGCATATAATCTTTGAGTCAGGAAATACGGTATGACATAAATGGGATATATAGAAACTTCCACCGAACAAATCTACAAATGTTAGACCATTCGGTAGTTTCTTAAGTTCTCTCAATATAATATCTTTACATCTACTCTTATTTCCAAAGAACGGTAATGGTGGTTTTGTAAAATTCATTTATATATAATAATAAAAATGTTTTTACCTGAAAAGTGACAGAAAAGTGACAAAGCATGAAAACATATATAATTTGTGAAAAGCGACACATTATATAATGTTTTCGACCCAGAAGACTAACAATTTTCCGAATAAAAACTTCATTTATACTAAACATCTTCGGGGCTAGAGGGCGCAACGCGCCTGGAAGCCCCACTTACCTGACCTTGTATAATGACAATTTTTTGAATTCCAGACCTTTGTGAATCCATATTTTTTTCTGACATTAACAGGCTTTAATCCAAGAAAGGGCATGCACTAAGATCGAAAAACTATCCCTCAGTAAATAATAAGCAAATATCATTAAGGGTCCACTGTAAGGCCAAATAAGGCCTATCGTCATCCCAAAAATATTGCTCAAGATGGTGTTTTACTAAGACCCAAAACTTAAAAAAACACAAAAAAATTAACTTTACTCTTTTGAGATCCTTATCAGATGTGCAACAATTTGATGCAGTATCGCAATTCGAATCCGATTTTTTAATGTAGGTGTACTCTAACATTCTTGAAAAAATGCAAAATGATATTAATTAAGCTTTTCATTTCTGTATCATACACGAAACAAAATCATTTATTATACTAAAATTTATCAAAGTTTGAATAATGAAAAAAATAATATCTAAATTTTTACATTGAGTCGGCTATTGATATGGTCAATATTAAATCGTTTAAAAATGGGCATTGGCCAGAATAATACCCACTAAAATACACTTTTTTAAATGTTATCAATTTGTTATGGTATATCTTTATGATAATGAATAAAATGCTTATCTTTCATAAGTAAATACATAATTTATGCTGAAACACAAAAAATAACACGAAAATTTTTTGCCAACATTTCAAAACTAAGGATAATGTTTTGAATATATAAACAATAATACTTTGTCTGGAGAATTAAATTTGTGCTATCCAATTGTCAATTCTTTGAATTTTTTATAAAATACACGATATTCCGACATTAGCCTCTTTAAATATAAACTACATGCATCACAATATTAGTATGTAATGGCATTAAAGCGAATTTCCTAATTTCTTCTCAATTTAATTCCTAGAAAAACTTAGGAATTAATGATTGGAAATAGGTCAAAAATTCCTAATATAAAATTCATACTTATAATAAAATCAAAATTCGAAAATATCTATTTTTCAAAACACGCATCCAGAAGCAAAAAAAATAGGAAAAATCATGTTCTTATAAAACTCGCTGATTTTGCAATTTTTATGTGATTTGAAGTGATAGAATATATTATCATCTTATTAAAACATATACTTCATTGTTACATTCACAAAATATTAATCAGAACACTAGGAAAAGTGGATTTTCGAAAAAAGACGATAACGATTATTTGCAAATCGCCTCTCAATTTTGAGAGACTTTCAATTTTTACAGTGGACCCTTAAATATCCTACAGAATTTATACAAATATACATAAAACGGCTTTCTCCTCAGAAAAAATAACTTTTGAAATTTTTCACAATTTCATGGATGATACAGAGGACGACCCGTTACTGGAACCATCATTATCCATCAACGATTCCACTTTCATGATGGAAAATGGTAGTACAAGCAACGATGTTAAGAACGTCTTCAGAGAAATGTTTCAATCAAAAACTTTAATTCCAACAGAAATTCAAAACAAACAGAACATTAGGACAGAAATTAGTATAGATTCGAATCAAATGAATGAAAATGCATTTACGCGTGAAAGTCAAAATCTTTATTTTTCACAGTTTCCTCGACATGATGAAAAGAGTCGAAATAAGTCGCGTTCATGGACTCCAGAAGAAGACAATCGACTGATTGAAGCTGTAAATAAATATGGCTCCTCAGAATGGTGTAAAATTGCACAATACGTTGGGAATGGTCGAACTCGATCTCAATGTGGGCAAAGATGGAATAGAGTTCTTAGCCCACAGATTTCAAAAGATCCTTGGACGCCAGAAGAAGATCAGAAGCTCGCAAATTTAGTTTGTTTATATGGGGACAGAACTTGGTCAAAAATTGCGAATGAAATGGGATCAAGATCCGATGTTCAGTGTAGGTATCGATGGAAAAGGACGCTAAAGGCTGCTATTACTAAGGTAGTCACAAAATCTAAGTAGTGAGGCTCTCAAAAATTGAACCGGACTCCATACAAAATTTGTGTACCCTCACTACTTAGATTTTGTGGCCTTCAATTGAGAGGTTAGTTTTGATAGAGCACGTTATAAAATTAAAAGGGAAAAATAAATAAAATTTAAACATTTAATTATATATAATGTAAGGAGTGTAATTCCAAATTTTCTAAAAACTATTCAAATTTGAGCATTTTTTTGGAAATAGTAAATCTAATATGTACATCTAATAACAACATGATTCATCACCTTTTCAAGCTCTGCAGTCAATTTTTTGAAATTTGATTGAAATAAATGTAGCAAAAATTACATTTCATTAGGGAATATATGAGTTTCTCTGGAAACAGGCTGATAAATTTTAAATTGTGTCCAATCAACATGAATGCATTGAGAAATTTGGATTGATTTTCTGGTAGAATCTGGAACAATTCAACCATGTATAAATGGATCATGTAATCATCATGAAATGTTAGTGTTAGAGTTCAAAAGAAACAGAATGAGTGGAAATCAAACACAATCTGAATAATTTTAAACGTATACAATCTTTAAGTTTGTATTTTGAATTCTACATATATGATTGTGTAATTCGTTCTTTCAAATTTTCGGATTCAGGCATGTTTTGATAAAATTCATTCCCAAAAACGTCAATTAACAATTAAATTTAGTGTATTTTAAATATATATACGTATTATATTTTATAAATTATATTAAATTCGCAAAATTTTAAGTTTTAAACAAAAATAAAAAATGTTCAAAATATGAAATTATGCATAGGATATTAAAATTTACATGTTAGCAATTTTTTTGAATTGCTTTCAATTTTCATATTGAAATTTTTAACATTTTTTTCTGAAATAATAAGCAAGAATATCAACCTAAATAATATTAAATTCCATGCGTTAATTTCCCCTCAAAAGTCATTGACCGCCTCTCAATCTAGATTTTGTGAGTACTTTAATTCTTCTTATCCCTTGTATAGTCCTATGAATCAGTTTCCTAACGGGCAATTAGAAAATTTATAATAGAGTAATATTTTATAATTATATATATTTTACATGCTTTTCATTTCTGAGTGTTATTCAATAAATTGACTATATTTGTAAAGTTTATTTTAAAAGTGACGAATTTTTTCCAACGTTGAGCGAAAAAATAATTGGTGGCGTGTCTCAAAAATTTACCGAATCAAATAATAAAGGAATTACATGCTTTGACAGAGATTTAATGAGCGCATTACCCCGAAAGAGCGGTCGGGTGTTCAGAGAAGTAAAATGAAAAATAATATTAAGCCGTGTAGATTGTTAGCGATCAGCGAAAGATCTTCTACTATGTGTCATTGTCATTATTGCTATTTATGGATGATTTTGAAGAAATGAGATTTCGACGAACAAATGTAATAGAAAGAAAGCATTTTGAATAGATCAGAAAGATATTTATAGCCATGAATTTAACAAACAATAACACTAACTTTTATTACAAACAAATAAAAAAAATTAATCCCAAATTTCGCCAAATAATAGCTCTTTGTCCTTTTGTTCTTCTAATTCCATCATTCTTGCTTGCTCTTCTGCTTCCTGTTTAGATATGCCTCTCTTTGGAATGTGGCGAGGAACTAATGGCCTTCCTGTTCTGTATTTAATAGGCTGCTTAGCTTCTCTGAGTGTCTTCATTCTCTTTTCATTTTCTTTCTTCTTAGTTTCTGCTTGCCTTTCCAATCTAAGCTTCTCACGTCTTTGACTATCTTTTTCTGAAGCTTTCTTATGGATAATGTCAGGAGGAATTCTCTGAAAGTCTCGAATAAGGCCTTGCAAAGTCTCTTCAATTCTTTCAAGCATAGCTGAAGTATCTGTAGTTGAGCTTGAATCATATTCAAGCGTCTGATAGAATGCTGCTATCTTGTCGTGAAGAGAAGTTGCTTCCTTTTCAGACAGTTCTACACCAGTCTTGAAGTCTTTACCTCCAAAATAAGACTCGTTCTTTTCTTGATGTATGCGAAGATTTTCTGAAGCTTCATTGAACTTTTCAGTCATCTCTATGATGTGCCCATCTCTTTGATCTAATAATTTTCCAAACTTTTCTCTATATCTTTCAACTGTTTCTTCTGCTTCTTGACAATGACGGATCAAGAACATATTTTGTTCTTCTAATGTCTTTATGATCGTTAATAATTGTTCTGGTTCTGTAAAATAAAATTCGTTTTCTTTGTGTGTCTTCTTCCAATCTTCTGGTGTAAGCATATTCAAAAATTGTTTGTATTGTTGGCATTCTTGTAGTCTTTCATCTTGGTGAGCAATATCATTACGTAAAGCAGAAATTTGTGCAGATATTGTTTTAGGAGAGTTAGCTCGATTCGTTCTTTAGCTTTATTCTCAGCTTCCTGTCTTGCCGCCATTGTTTGCTTTCCATCATTTTCAAGAAAGTTGTTAAATTGTGTTCGGAATAAATTGATTTCAGCCTCTTTTTCTTTTAATTGCTTTTTCTCTTCTATTTCTAAGCGTTCTAATCTTTGGAGCTCTTCTCTTTTTGTATCAATTGCTAATTGAGCTAAAAATATTTCTCTTTTTTGTGCAATAAAATCGCGCAAACCTTCTTTTGTTTTACCCATCTGTGGACTAAGAATGATTTTGGCTAAAGCTTTTTCTTCTGCATCAGGATTAGAAGGCTTTGGTTGGCATTGACGCCTCAAAAGGGCTCTTTTTGATTCTAAGCCTCTTCTTGATAATGGTGTCATTGCAATTCTAGCACGTTGAAGTTCTCTTTCTTCTTTTACTTCATCTTTAATTCGAAAATAATCCGTTGATTCTGGAACTTTAAACGGATTCACAACTTTTGAAGTTGAAGCGTGACTACCACCATCATAATCACTCAATGAATCTATTTCGTTTGCAGTTTCAAGAGATCTAGTGGTGCTTTTCATAGTGTACGTTAATTAATTCTGCTTCTTGAAATTGAATTGAAAATATGAAATCGTAAAATCTCTTTATTTTAATGTAAAGAATAGAATTAATTAAAATTTAGCAAAAATTTTGCTTCGCAGAAATTTTTGAAAAGATGTATAAAATCTGCTATTCTAGTCTAAATTCTTTCACCATTCAGCTATTCTTGTCCTATAATTGTCAAATATTTGATGCGATTAGTCAAAAACGATATATTAGATATAATCTTATTCAAATTCTATGGGTTTATCCAATAATTCTGCTCGAAATATAGCAAGTGCATATGATTCAAAAATAATATATCAATACATAGTTTATTAAAACAACAGAAAAAGTAATAAAAACAATAAGAATATAAAAGTCAAAACAGTCAATGAAAGTTATTAATCGGTGTGGAGCAAAGCCTGGTTTGATTTAATTTGCTGATATGTTGGATAATCTTTGATCAAATCCGCATTCGACATATTTTTCCATGGATTTATTGGTAAAATGACTTTCCACCATCTGTGATCTGGTCCAAATAAATCAGCAATATTGTCTGATTCTGTTTCTTGTTCAAAGCCATATTTGATGTTATTCCACTCTTCCCAAGAAGTAATATTCTTCTTTGCGTTATTCCACACTGAATATGCAAATTGCATGGTCATAGCTGCATACATCAATGCAAAAATAACAAAAACAAATTCAACAAAAACTCTGTAGTTCATTCCATCAAGTAATATAATAACAGTACCAGCAAGATGGGCCATTGCTGATAAGGATAAATATATGCTTCCCCAGAAATTAAAGCAGAAAAACATTTTATGATTGCGTTTTCCTATCCATGAACCAACCCATCCGCAAAAATGATCGGGTCTAATGACGAAGCGCTTCGCTAATTTTGAAACAATGCATCTGCCTGGAGTCGGATTATCATGAGCCCTTTTGTACTGAGTATCGTTCGTAATAACGCCATAATATGAATCTTCTAATGTATCTACTAAGATTTCGTTGTTTGGTGGAAGTTTATCATGAATTGCCCAGTAATAATAAAATGGAATATATCCAGGACCGTCGTATATTGTCTTAAGATAACAAAAAATGAACATTATTCCGAATACTGTTATGATTGGTATAAAAATTTTCCCGTAAATTTGTAAATTGAAGAATGGAATCCAATAAAGAATTCCTAAATTGGCAAGAGCCTGTGTAACTACAAAAATAGGCATGCCTGGAGCACAATACCAATGTCCGCAGAAAAGAGCGCCATTAGACATTTTCGTGCAGCAACAACATTTTTTAAAGTCAGAATAGCCTGGAAATTCTTCAATATTTTCTTCTTGTGGAGGATTTTCTGGATCAGTGGGTGCTATTTCGGAAGGTTTAGTTTCTTGTTGCTGTAAATTTTGGTCGGGGATTTGATCATCCGACATTTTTCTCACCGGAAGAAAAATGAAGCAATTGAATCATAATTTCATAACAATTAAGTGCTCCCATTTAACATATAATGATAGCAAAAATTCGCGAAAATCTCTGGTCGGAGAAAATCCACTTTATTTTGCCAAATTTTCTTTGTTTTAAGATAGAAAATCATATGATATATCTGATGATATAAGACTTCTTCTCCAAAATGCTGAATCAAAATTTCAAACTGAAAATCCAAGAATCATGCTTTAATTTAGCAGAGAAAATGACTTGTTTGGTTCCGTTATATCATATTCCATCTAAATCAATCATTGTCTGACAAATTGAATCCCTTCCGACGGTTTTGACGGCCATTAAGGTCGATGCTTGAATCCCGGTCGAGATCTTTATCCCGCTCGGCGCTAAGGCTCGATATAAATGTTCCAGGGGGCAAACCGTTAGCTCATGCAAAACGATGCTTTCTCTAACAACACTTCTTTTAAAAATTATTGGGCTTTTAATTTTATTGAGCTTGAGAAATGTAGTATCTTACGTATTGAGATATATCAACTGTTTAGTATCGGAAATAACTTAGAATTTACAAAGAAAATTGCGAAATTTCAAATAACATGGAAATATTTTGGATGAGAATTGAATTTAATAATATTTTGTTAAGTGTTGCATGGCGTTGATAACAGTACGTATAAATACAAATAAGATTTAAACAAATTTTTAACAAACAATACGAAAAATATAAAAAAACACCAAATGGGTATTACAGATACTTTGATTTCTTCTTTTTGAGTCCGTGTTTCTCTTGATATTGAGTAAACAAATCAAATAAGAATTGCTTGACGTTTTGTGGTTTTTCTTTGAGTGTAGAGTTGAGTGCGAATTCTATCATTTCCCTGACTTCTTTGTGTTGAGCAATAAATTCTTCGGCTTCTTGCTGAGGAATTGAAGCATCAACTTTTGCAATGAAAGTTCCAATTGGAATTAGAGAAAATTTCTTTTGTTTTCCGCATCTACTTCTATGTCCGATTGTATAACCAACACCTTGTGAAAGAGGAGCTAAATCATAAGTTGCTGGAGGTGGAGCGTCGCTATCGCCATCAGGATACATCCAAAGAGTTCTTCGTTTAGGTCCTGACATAGTAAAAGCTGGAGCTCGAGGTTTAACAGCTGTAATTTTATATTTAGGACCCGGACTTGCTGTTTCATCTTTTATTGGTATCTTGTTGCCAATGGTAATTGGTCTGTTTTCGAAACTACTATGTGTAAAGTAACTAGGAGTCATTAATTCATTTGATGAATAAAAATGCTTTCCATCGCGAACACCAATAGATGTTTTAAGAACACGTGGAAATACTCTATTGTTTATAAAGTCAATTCCTGCGGTAATCGATCGCTCTTGGTATCTTGGCGTTTCGACAATTTTATGTGAAATCCTTGTATCTTTTTCTGATGGTGGAGGATCATAGTCACCAGGACCTGGTGTTAATTCAATTGGTGGCGGAGGTTTTCGTGCATGTCCGATTTCTATTTTAGGTAAATCCTTAGTAAAATCCTGCAATTCTTGGTAATATGGTAAATCTATTTTGGTATCTACATTGTGCTTGATTTTTTGTCTTTGAAAACAAGATGGAGGCCTCGCTCCAGTTTTTGTGCTCATCTTGCTCTAAAAAAAACGTGATTTTGTCATAAAAATTTTATAAGAATACTTCGGAAAGAGAGATTTATGAATTTGATTAGCTTGCTTTGTGTGTGTTAAAACTACGAGATTTTTGATAAACTGGCTGAATGAAATTTTGTAATCTGCAAGATTGATTACTCCGAATAGAATAATATGACTCTCATACGTTCACATTGATAACAACATAGTTGAAACGTTGATTTCTAATAATTGTAAATCAAATGAATTTGGTCTTTTAATTAGATGATAATTAATAGTATGTTTTTGATGTAATAGTCTGTATTGTACATGTAATGTAATAATTCAGTTAAAACATGAATATTTTATTACAAACAAGAATATGAATAATAATATGTAATTCGGAAGTTGTACTATAGCTTCCTACACTTCTAAATATTGATACACCTTAGTACAGCAGATAATTGTGAAATCTAACGATGGAAAATTGTAGCAATCAAATTTATGGCAGAAAGATGATACGTCCTGGATTAGGTACAATATGCTATATTTGATGTTCAGGATATTAAACATATGATTAAGGTAACGATAAATCATGAAATATTAATCGGTAAATAGCATTTTTTCTTTTGGAATTGGAGTTAATGTAGATTGTCTTTGAATACTTTCTTCAATTGTAGATGTTTCTTTTCGAATTTGATTTATACTTTGAATAACGGCAAATCTTTTGTTCTGTAGTCTTTTATTCTCGTCAATAGCATCTTTATAACGTTCAAATGGTTGATCGTAAATTTCCTTTAACTGAGGTATTGTTTTTTCGCTTAGATTTAATTTTTCAGCATTGTACTTATATTTATTTTGAACGTTTCGATTTGATTTGCTATTTCTTTTGTTTGATGGTTGATTTTTCGCTGAATTAAGAAGATGGATTGCTTTTGATGTCGAAAGTGGTCTAAACATTTTGATTTGAATACGTTTTCAATATTGAGAATGTATCGATACATTGTAAAAATTTCGGAAAAAAAGATTGACATTTAATTTGTTATTTATGTTTATTCAAGAAATCGAGTGGTAAAGTCAATTTTTAATTTACAACGTAAGGAAACCTGATCAATTTAAAAATAGTCATAATGATGTTGTCGATTTTTTGAATGAATATTGACATTTTAATTCCCAAAAAGGAAATATGATTTGCTTGACTAATAAGCGTATTTTTCTTCGATCCGAAATGGCAAAAAATCTCCAAGAAAAATTTAGAAATTAAAAATATCAACTCATATCTGAATTTTTTTCCTTCACTTTTATTTATAATTTTGATTTTCCTCTGATTTATGGTAATGAAGAATAAATAGAGGTGGCTTACACTACTTGATTTTTTATGATTTTGTCCATTATTGGTGAACTTAATTTTTTTCATCATTTAAATTTGCCCGAAATATATATACTTTTTCCTTAAATTTACTCCGTTGTTGGATTTTCATTCTTTCAACGAGCGAGAGTTTCAAAGGGGAAAGAATATCTAAATGAATGGGTAGAAAATGAAAAAGGTATTAAAGGAATACAAAACCAAATAAAATATCATTGAAGAAGCCCTTGAATTGAATAAGAACATTTGAACAACATCTGAAGAAACCTCAATTCAATCCAAAATTAATGAGTAATATTATATAATTGTAAGCAAATAGCATATTAATGCAGTTAATGTAACATCTCAATGAATCCAGAAATCATCTTTATTCCCTTTTATGTCATCAAAAAGGAAATCACGATCAATTAAGTCAAAGAAATTAAAATCAAAGATTAATTCGACCCAATTTAGACTGACATTTGTTCAAAATTTGATGATAACATGATAAGTACTTAACAAATAGACCATATAGCGCTAATTTCATGTTCGAATAAATCTTTATGAAACTAGAAGTCAATGCCAATTAAATACATTGCAATATGATTATTAAGTAGCATTTCAATGGCAATCCATAAAAAACATATAAATTTGTTCATAAAAGTTTCAAAAATTCAAATATTGTTCTACAAACTATTCACACACAATTACTCTAAGCATATTAATATATTTTCGATATAAAATTAAAGCTAGAGCATTGTCATAAAGTTTTCTCCAAGTTTTATTTTTATGCTCACAAATAAAATTTTGGAGAAACTAAACGTATACATTTGAAATGAGTAGTGTTTCAACTCCTATGACATCTCCTTACAGAACTCCAATCAAGTCTCCACATTCAAAGGATCCAGAATCAGCAAGAAAAAATCTTTTAAAGAAAGAACATGATCTGAACAAATTAGAGATCTTAAATCTTAAAGATGCCAATCTCAAATGCGAACAAAAGGCTAATGAACTGAAGAAACAGAAGACAAATCTTGCAAATGCAATCAAAGCTGAGCAAAAATTAATTACCACAAGAGAAAAAGAATATAAAGAGGAACTCGAACAACAGATTGAACTTGAAAAGCAGAAGATGAACACTCAAATAAGCGAGATTAAAAACGAAAAGGAGAATCAACGCAAAGACATAATTAACTCTCTGCAGCGCAAAATCAGACAAATATTAGATAAGTTACCGAGATCAAATGCAGATGGACATATGATGCTGAACATTGAAAACGATAATATCCAGCAAATGAAAGCAGAGTTCCATTCAATGGTCCTTAATTGGAATTCACAGAGGCAACTATCTGATATTGAGAGACTTAACCTGAAATTAAGAAAAACACTCTTAATGATTAAAGAAAACACTTACCTTAACATTCCACCACATCCAAAGTTATTTATTGAGAAATCACATGAGTTTGAAACAGAATATTCTCAACACACATCATATGAATGTCATCAAACTAATGTCAACTACACAAAACTTACAGTTGAGAAACACACCTTATTAATATCTTCATGAATCTATATATATGTCTTATATTTTCATCATTTCTAAATCCTATCATCTTATAGCTAATCTTTTAATCTTTGTAAGATTCTAATTCATATTGTGAATTTTAATTGAAATTTTGTTTTAATAATTCGAATAATTCTATCTGCAAAATGAAATAGTTAATTAAGTTAATTAATAATAACACTTATATATACAATATTTATTCAAATAAAATTTTGAAAATTTTTATATAAACAATAGAATATGTAATAAACAATAATATATCACAAACTACAGAATAAACAATTAATTTATCTTCCATCCGCTGTAATTTCCATATTTGAAGTTAAATCTTCCCCAAGTTGGTCTTTTATACTCATTTATCAACTTTGTTGCTCTTCCATGCATGAATCTATAATAGACATCTGGCTCGAACAGTCTAAATCCCCTTGTCAAATGAGATGTCTTGTTATGAGACATGTGAAAACCGACAGGAAGCATTATAGATAGCTGAGGACACAAGTTTGCAGCCCAATCAAAAGATAGAACAGTATCAACGTTCCAGTTCATTCCATTTTGGAGGAAACCATTAACTAATTCCCACATTTTCTTGTCTCCACCTTCAAAATCACCAGAAGCTTCCATTCCGACGGAATCAAACCAAAGCCTATGAGGAATATTGATGAAAAATTGGAACTGTTGTCTTAAATCTTTGATTACATAAAGAGATTGTTTCATTTTTTCAACAGTTGTATTAGAAAGTTCCAATCTCATTGTTCTTATCCATTCATGACGGGCCAGGCACTTGCAATGAGCGATTTCGAAGAACCCTGGAGGCAAAGTAACATCAGATGTCCCTGTAATGATGAATTCTGACCTCGCATTTCTTACTCCAAGATTTCGGAGTGGAAAATCAGGGAAAGAACTGTTTATTTCATCGCGCAATTTAACAACATCTCTATAATCAAGTTCTAAAACCTTTGTATGAGACTTTAATGGCTCTGGAAGTTGAATTATTTCGTCAAATTTCGGAGAAGGCTCCATTGGAGCGTAAATCACTATGAACTCGTATGCTGAGTCATAGTAATTCTCTGCTATCCAGTTATTATATGAATATGCCTGTTTAAATCTCTCAATTATTGGCTTATGATGAGAAATTGTAGTAATATAAGTGATATAAGGGTCAGTGGTCACCGTCTCAAGTCTGTTTTTAACGTATTCATATGTTTCTTTGAGCTTTCTTTGGCCTTCTACTGATAAAACGTCTTGACTTGAATCAATTTTACAAGTTGGCATTAATTCAGACATATAGGTATATAATTCTGATCCTGTATAAGTTGGCAAGTTTGGCTCGAAGCTTTTACCTGATAAATTAGTAGTATTTTGTATTATATCTAAAGTATATTTCGCGACATCTTTTGAATAAACGAAAACATCATCGCTGAGCCGTTCAGCACCTCCATGTATTAAGCAATGATATATATTTCGAGTGATATGGCTTGATATTGGCTTATGAATTTGAGGACCAAAAACATTGGGAATGTATATCTCTACATCGGAATGTCTGTCAAAACTTTGAACAAAGGAGATAATGGGAACATTTCTTGTAGCTGATTTAATGATAGTTATGTGTTGTTTTGAATTATTTGCACAATTTATTACGAGATATATGTTGCTTCCGGATAGGAACCGTGGAAAAACCGGATTAAGTATATCTATATGTAAGCGAGACTTGATTGCAATGTATTTTAACTTGCGCGCTTTTATTTCTTGCTCTACAGCCATCCCTATCATTCCAGACGTACCCAAAACAAGAATTTTAGGATCATTATCCCCTGGATCTAGCTCTAATTGACAGTTTAATAATCCTTTATCTATATCTCTGTAAAATCCTCCGAAATGCTTATATCTCCGCGATAAATTTGGCTCTAACGTATAGCATATATCGTAATTTGGTATATCAATGAATCTAGAACGCTTCTTTTCCTTATTCGGAAATAATATAACAACAATTATGCATAATATTGCTGTGAAAAGATGGAAAAGTGAATTTTTATACGCACTCATTTCAGCATCCGAACTTTCTTTTTCTGATTTCGGAAAAAGATTCATCCAGATATTTTATAACGAAGAAGCAATATAAAAAATAAACAAAATATAACAAAGATCATACTAAATTACATATATTTTTAATTCTTTGCTTTGGAATTGCTTTAATTTATTCAACCACATTGAAGATTTTGAAAAATTTTCAATAAAAACAATTAATTGTTAAAAATAATAATAACACATGTTTAATAAGCAGGGTTTGTACTCTGGAATATTCTGAGTTTCTTCAAATCATCACGAATTCTTCTGATGAAAGAAACGAAAATATGTTCATCATCAGGCTCAAAGAAATTAACATTGTATGGAGCGCCGATTTCGCGAGCTACAATGTTCATTATTCTTTGTTTCTCGCGATCAGAAGCAAGCGTTGCATTATGCGATTTAGCAACTCTTTCTGACAATCTCTTATTTTCTTGTTTCATTGATTCCAATTTTGTAAGAGATTCGCTGAGAAGTCGTTTCATGTCATATATCTTGTTGCTGTCAGAATCATGTGACTTCTGTGACTTATACTTCATGTCTTTGAGAGCTGCTTTGAGTTCAGCGTTTTCACGAACTTTGTCGGAAACTTGACGTTTCAAACGAGTAATTTCTTCATTTAGATCAGCATTCTTTGAAGAAAGAATTCCAACTTTTGTTGATTTTTCGGCCAAATCTGTTTCTGCGTTCAATAAGATTTGTTGTGATTTGTTTAAATCATCTTGCAATCTATTGATTTTGTTGTTTGCTTCATCATAGAAATCAATAGATCTGTTAAGATTTGCAATTTCATCTTGAAGAGTCTTCAAATTGCTCTTATATGACTTGTTTTCATTCTTTAAGTCCTTAACAGTTTGAACAACTCTTTCAGGCGGAATTCCTCCATTCCTAATATCATCAAGTAATTTTTCTCTCATTGCTGCCTGGTTGAATAATCTTGCAATTTGCTCGTTTTGCTTTGCATTTGTAAGCATAAGAGATGAAACTAGTGTGCAAGCAACCGAATCATTCTTAATAAGATCTGAAACAAGTTGATCACTATTATAAATGACTTGGTTTGCGTCAATGTTCTTCTTAATGAATTTAAGGAAAGCGGAATCAGAATCGAGATTAAATTTAGCAAATAATCTCTCGTTTTCTGCAATTTTGTTGAGTTTGGATAATAAGTGATTCAAAACAGCTTCTTTTTCTTGGTATTTTTCAAGTTCTTGATTATGGTTCTCTTTAATTTCATCTATTTGCTCCTTAAGTTTGTCATTTGCATCATTTAATATCTTGAATTCGCGAGAAGCTTCATTTAATATGAGTTGAACTCTCTGATAAGGTTCAAAATGAGTCATAAGTTGGATCTTGTCGAATCTGACTCCGAATTCTCCGGTAAATGGATTCTTAAGAAGATTTGAATTCATTGGCTCTGGATTTTCTTGTGGTTGATTTCTTGGAGGTGATTTTAATGGAGAAGACTTGGATTCAATCATCTTTTTAAGCATACTGATCTGGCCATCGTTTTTGGTAATGATCAAATTCAATTCATCATTATTTTCTTGAAGTTTCTTATTTTCGGAAGTAAAACACTGCACTCTTTCCTTGAGTTGCTTAACTTCATCAGTTAAATCATCAATCATCTGCTGAGAACGATCTTGTGAGTATTTTTCTTGATCCTTTTTAATTTGCTTAATTTTCTTCCTATCTTTAATGATTTGAGAAGCTAATGCATTACACTCTTGCTCTTTAATAGATAATTTTGATTGTAAATCTTGATTTTCCAACTTCAACGTTTCATTGTCAGATTTTAGCGTTTTTGCATCTTGTGATTGTTTCTTTAAACTCTTAATCTTATCCTTATTCTTCGATAACTCATCTTGTAGTTTTTGTGAGTTAGTTTCGATATTTCTTACATGTTGGTTGTGATCTAAGCAGATCTTTTGAAATAGCTGCTGTAAGCTAGAGAGTTCGCTACTAGAATCTCCAAGGTTCTTAAAAATACTTTCAATTTGATTTTTTACATCTGAATCAGTAACTTGAGATAATAACGTCTGAATTTTAGCTTGGGCTTGAACATTTTTACGAGAAACATTTAGAATTACACTAGATAAAGAATCGGGTGATAGATATCCATTACTTTTGCTATTCATTGATGAGCAAATCGGGCAAAAACTCATCAAAGCGCGGGCAAAAAAAAATGTAAACGCATTGATAAACGTTATTGCATTTTATAAGTCCATAAATAGTAAATACATAACTAACATAGCCTTCTCTACCCGATGGATTTAAAAAATCATCGTTCGTGGCATTTTGTCAGCAATCGAAATTTGCAAAAAAAATGTGCTCAAAATAAAATAATAAGGATATTACAACATTTATCATATTATTATCAGTATTATGATTTCATTTTCATATTTTTTTAATGTTTTCCTTTCTCTTCGGATTTTCAATTTCGCATATCTTAGACTTTCAATATGAACGGATTGTAGCCGGCGACATTATTGCGAGGAGAGTTGATACATTAGCAGGAATTATTCATCTTAATCTTTCTATTTCAAATTGTCCACCAAATTATTCTGTACAGCTTTATGCATTCGAAGAAATTAGAATCCCATATGTATTTCCTAATTCAACAAACTTTCAACCCATTTGTTGCCCTTCAAAAGAGAAATGTAACTTAGGCCAGGTATATTTTCAAGAAAATGCACCAGTTATTTCAAGAATGATTACACCAGAAGTTAACAATACAGGTAAAAACACAACCGATATCGATGAATCAGATATTATTCTTCAACAAACTTCAAAAATCGAAATCACAAGAAAAGGCATATGGACAATTCTAATTTCGAACTGCGGTTCGGAAGAAATTATGATTCATGGCTTCGCTACGATAAGAAGACATGATGGTTGCATAGATATCCGTCTGAAATTATTATATACCATCTCTATTTTAATAATTATTATAGGTGTAGGTATGATTCTGTACCACCTTTTCATGTGGGTATCTTCTGTTCCAAAATTGTCACTAGAACAAAAATCTATTATTGGTCTCATCACTTTATTTACGATTTATGGGCTTTTGACGACATATTTATATTTCTCATGGAATCAGACCGGTGATTATAAGATTTCTATCTCATATTCTTCATCATTTTTACGAAGTTTGATCACAATTTTAGTTTACTACGCGACATTACGACATTTACAGCTTCCTGACGAAATAAAACTCTACGGGTTCTTCGGAACAATCATTCCTGCCTTCATTGGCGCAGTAATTGAGAATTTTGGTATCAAAAACTTTTCTTCACGATACAATGGAATGTGGATCTTTGGATATGGCCATCCATGCATTGAATTTCTTACGATAGTTTCTGTCCACATTTTTGTTTTTGTTTACGCGCATTTGAATACTCCGAAAGAAGACGCAAATGAGAACAGAAGGATATTACTTGCATTAGTATTCTGTACGATACCATCATATACAGTAATGAATCTCTGTTTATTCGGATACAGATTCAATAAAAATTTAATTCAGACGAGAAAGAGCGAATGGGTACCATTTACACTCTGGCCTATGCTCATATCAGTGATGATATCCATAAATGCATGGTATGCTGGCGAATTGAACCCAGAAGGCTGGCAAATGTTTAATTCAGGAGAAGATAACCAAAATGCATTCGTAATCAAGAGAGGAGGAAAGAACCAAAAGAATACAAAGAATATGAAAGCGATGCAGAACCAAATTAAACAGGCTAAATTACAGAAACAACAACAAATAATTCAAGAAGAAAAAGAAAGACATCATACGCCTCCAAAATTGATGCCTGTTCAACTAGAACAACAAGAAGAAGTTTAAGTTATCTTATATTAATGTTTTTTTTAATTCAAATTTATGATTCAATAATTTTTTTTTTTGAATCATATAATATTCCATATAAGCGATACTTATATCGCTACGTTATATGTTTTTATTATATATTTTATTGTATTTTTTTTTAAATTTACATTTTGTTGCCCAATTCAAAACAAATTCCATGAATATTTATTTCTTTGACAAATGTTTATTGACTTGTTCAATTTATTCATGATATAACATTACGGCATAAAGGATGTTATGCAAAACCTCATTGATGGTGTATTATTATTGTCGTCTGGCGGTTTTAGGCGACAATGCGAATTGTCAAATAATAGGATTTTTAGCCAGATAAAGAGCTACTCCATATATCATGCGCGTTTGCACACTATATACATAGATGGAATTGATGCTCTTCCTTTATTTAGGTACCAAAAAATGCTTGAAAAATCTCTTTTTTAGACGACAATGATTATTTTGTCACTTTACCAGACGACAATAAAATATCCTCCTCATTGATAGTACAATACCCATCAATTCAAATTTTTTTGGGCGCCATTTTTTCATGAATTTGTAATGCCCAAAACAATTTGAAGTGATTGATATTCCAAAATACTAAATAAAATAAGTTCCGAAATGATCAAATATATCCTCCATTATTGTGGCAATGTTAGTGAATATGCATTCAACAAGATAAACCAGGTTAATATTTCACATGTTAGAGAGTGTAAAATTGAATTATCACATTGTTTAATTATCTTTCTAATTTATTTCTTCAATCTCGGGTATTTTATTTTTTGCGGCCTTTTTAGTTGAATGTTCAACCTTGTGACCTAAAAAGCTAATTCAAACGAAGATTCTTAGACCATGCAATTTGAAGAGGGGGTTTCCCATCTTCATCTTTTTCATTGACGTTTGCACCACGAGAAATAAAGAATTGAGCAATTCGTTTACTTCTATTTTCTACTGCAATATGAAGAGCGGTTTTTCCATGATCATCTCTTTCATGGATATTTGCACCATGTAAAATAAGAAGCTCGACTATTTCTTTACTATCCGAAAATGCTGCAAGATGAAGGGCGGCTTTTCCATTATCATCTTTTCCATTGATATTTGCACCATGTGAGATAAGAAGCTCAGCTGTTTCTTTACTATTATATTCTGCAGCAACACGAAGAGTGGTTTTTCCATTATCATCTCTTTCATTGATTTTTGCACCATGTGAAAGAAGAAGTTCGGCAATTTGTTCACAATTTCTATATGTTGTATAATAAAGAGCGATTTTTCCATGTTCATCTTTTTCATTGATATTAGCACCTCGAGAAATAAGAACCTCTGCTGTTTGTTTACAATTTTTTTCTGCTGCAATATGAAGAGCGGTTTGTCCATATTTATTTTTTTCATTGATTTTTGCACCATAAGAAATAAGAACATCTGCCGTTTCTTTACTATTATGAAATGCTGCACAATGAAGAGCCGTATTCCCAGTTTTATCTTTTCCATTGGGACCTAAGCCATGTGAAAGAAGAAATTCAGCTGTTTCTTTACTATTATTTTCTGCAGCAATAAAAAGAATGGTATTGCCATCTTTATTTTTTGCATTGATTTTTGCACCATGTGAAATAAGAACCTCTGCTGTTTCTTTACTATTATTTTCTGCTGCAATTTGAAAAGCAGTTTTCCCTTCTTCATCTTTTGCATTGATATTTACACCATGTGAAAGAAGAACTTCAGCTGTATCTTTACTATTATATTGTGCTGCAATATGCAGTGCGTTTTTTCCATGATCATCTTTTTCAATGATTTTTGCACCATGTGAGATAAGGACCTCAGTCATTTCTTTACTATTTCCACATGCTGCATAATGAAGAGCGGTTTTTCCATGATCATCTTTTTCATTGATATTTGCACCGTGTGAAAGAAAAACCTCAGCCGTTTCTTTACTATTATACTGTGCTGCAATATGAAGTGCGTTTTGACCATTTATATCTCTTTCATTGATATTTACACCATGCGAAATAAGAAACTCAGCTATTTCTTTACTATTTCCAGCTGCCGCAGTATGAAGAGCTGTTTTCGAAATTCTATCTTTTGCATTGATGTTTTTAACATGAGAAAAGAAAAATTTACAAAGTGGTAGAATTCCAAACATTGCTGAATAAATAAAACAATTAAAAATGTTATTAGTTTGATCGAAATAAACTAAAAATGTTTCAAGATTATGATATTTTCCGCAATCAGATAAATCGATATCTAAATGGTATTCATTCATCAAGAATGTAATAAAATCAATGTTATGTGAAATAATTGCGTATTTCATGCATTCATTTTCTGATGTTTGATGCTTCAAACATTCACCCATGATCTCCGGATTTCCACCTAAAAACGAAAAATTTAGGCAAGTTTGAGTTATTTCTGAGTTAAATTTTGTTCGCAAAAATTTGAAACAATCAACTGCTCCGTAATAACAACATAATTCAAGTAATGAATATCTATTGCCAGATTTTGGATATAAATTGCTTCTAAGTTGCTGATTATTATCAAATCCTTCTTTTTCAGCGATTAAAATGAATTTTGTAAGATCATTATTTATAATTGCTCTGTAAATTGTATTTTCTAAACGAGCGTAAATATTTTTTAAGTTATAAATCATTGATATAATGCTGGTCTCTGTTAAATGATAATCATCTGTAATTTTTTTCGCAAGAGCTAAATATGACTCTACATAGCGATTATTATACGGAATAATATTGTAAATATCTTTGATTATATTTTGGGGGAGACGCTTCTTTGAATCAATCAATTCTGATTTGAGAATTTTGTAAATCGAGTTTAAATCTTCGTCATTTTCTGTTTTTAGCTGATACAACGCATTATATGAATCGATATAGTATTTATAGGTACTTCTCAGTTTACTGTATTGATCTGAATTAATGTATCGATCAGACATTAAAAATTTACAAAATGTCATATTTTTTCATTTTTCCATATTTTACATCTTTTAAAATTCATTAGGGAAAAGCCTATGCTACACATGTTAGTATAATATTGAGAGGGCCTGAAATTTTTAGGAGACATTAAGTATTTATATCTTGTAATCCAAAGAGATTAATATGAAACTATCTATAGCAGAATGCACCAACATGGACTAATACGTATAGTTAATATATCTACATTGAATGAAAGTAATGATCTATTCTTGGAAAAAGGAATAGATCATTTTATGTTATAAAACACTTTTGAAATTCATGAGTAGAGGAAAAATCCCATTCTGTTCATGTTTAAAAACAAAATCTACAGAGAAAAAAATATTAATAATTATGAAATAATAAGCAAATTTTAGTCTGCTTTAATAAGCTTCTTACTGCTGTGTCTCGTTCTTCTTGGAGATCTTCAGCTTGCCGAGGAACTTGGAGCGTTCTTCCTTTGTCTGGAAGCGGCCGTGTCCGAACTTGGAAGCTGTATCGATCCACTTGAGGTTGATCTCTTCTGTGGCGATACGGCGTGTGTTGATGTTGATTGTCTTGCGGAGTGTGATGGCGCGCTTGACTGTGCCGACAACGGAGCCCTTGATCATGAGGAAGTCATCCTTGACAAGACCGTAGTGTGGGAAGCCACCCATTGGGTTGATTGACTTCTTTGTAAGATCGAAGGATGTTGAACCACCCTCGTTGATCTTGCCCTCAACTTCGGCAGCACCGATTCTGTAGATGCGCTTGTTCATCTCTGTACGGTGGTGGCAACCGCGCTGGCCGTAACGAGCGACTGACCAAAGAACACGAGCTGGGTTCCATGGGCCGATGCAAGCAACTTTCCTGCGGCCACGGTGGGTCTTCTTCTGAAGACGCTTTGTGCCGTAACGGTGGATAACACCTTCCCAACCGAAACCTTTGCCAACACCGATTGTGTCGATCTGTTCGCCCTCTGTGAAGACATCGGCGACCTTGATCTCCTTTTCGAGGATGGACTTGGCGTAGTTGAGCTTAGCAGCAACATCGCCACCGTTGATCTGGATTTCGATCATGTGAGCCTTCTTCTGGCCAAGGTGGTTGCCCTTGAGGACCTTCTTGGCGCCCTGCTCGTTAGCATCAACACCGCGTGTTGTTGTCTTGGCGGACTGTGTGTGAGCGATGACACGGATGACTGTAGCCTCCTTCTGGAGTTCTTCGAGTTGCTTCTCGCGCTTCTCAGCAGCCTTGCCGTTGGAAAGGCAGGAGAAAGCCTTGCGAGCCTTGGACTGGTACCAGTTCTTGTAGTAGTTACGCTTGACTTCTTCGTTGACGTAGGAAGCCCAGACTGTTGTGACTGGCTTGAGGCCCTCGACTGTTGGCTTGTAGCCGATGATACCAACAACGAACATTGGTGGTGTCTCAAGGATTGTGACTGGTTCGCAAGCTTCCTTCTTGTGGAGACGGGAGTTTGGACGAACGACATCACGGAGAACGTGTGTCATACCGGCCTTGTAACCGATGAAAGCGCAAAGATGTGGCTTCTGGGAAGCATCATCCTTTGGCCATGAGCGTACGCGGCCACGGACGGCATGAGAACGGCCACGTGGGAGGAAACCAAGGGAACCACGACGTGGTGCATTGAACTTACGATGAGACATTGCAAGAAAAGGTCGAGCCACGCAGCGGTTATTTCAATGGACCCTTTGAAATGAGAACATTTTAAAAATCAAACGAAAAATATGAATTAAAATAATCTGTTGTTAATTTTTCATCCGAAAATTTTAATCCTGACACAAGATTTAAATCAATTTTTCATCAATTTCCAAATTATCAGGCTAATATTTGAACGTTGCAAACCAAAACCTCAAAATATGGCGTTTTGTTAACATGAATTAAAAATAAGTTGTAAATTAATAAACACAATACAAACATTTTTAATAAAATTACTCTATATTTGGAGCAGGCAGTCTAGGAAGCTTTTTAAGCGTCGAGACTGCAGTTAATGGCCGCTTTATATTATAAGCTTGACTTCCAATTGAAACTAAAGGTTCATAGCCAAATCGAGCGTCAACTTCCTGCTCCTGCTCGATTAGACGTGACCTATAGTCAAGCATATCTCGTCCTACCATAATTAAATATTGATTTTTGGCATGAAGAGCTTGAGTTAATTTTTCTATTTGATCCTGCTCTTCAGACCTTGGTCCTCTTAACGACATTTTCTTCTTTGCTTCATCCAGCTTTCTTTGGGCTTCATCAATTTCAGGAGATTCATATTTTTTGTGATTATTTGATAATTTTTCTTTCTCCTTCATAATTCTTAATGTTTCCTCTTTCAACTGCTTCTCCAAGCGTTTTTCGTTTTCTATTATATATAAATTCTGCTTATCAGCTTCGAGTTTTGCTTTTTGAGAAGCATTTTCTATTTTGTTGACTCTTCCTGTCTTTAAATCTGTTATTGACTTGAGAAGTTCTTCCATTTGCTTTTTGGCAACTTCAATGAAAGATTTATATTTAATATCAAAAGCTCTTTGTGAATTTACCTTCTTTTCTATCAATTTCTGTTCTTCTGATCTTAAAATCACAATCTCTGACTCATATTTTGCGGTTAGTTTAGCACTTTCTGTCTTTTGTGTCTCAATTTCTGTATATAATTCAGCTTGAAGAGCTCTGATCTCGCTATCAACAATTTCCTTACGTTTATTGATAGTTTCACTACTTTCTTCTTGCAAATTTTGCAAATGTGCCTTCAAACTGTCAGTATTTGGATCATCTGAAGTAATTGCAATATCTAATGCTCTTTGTTTTTGTTTCTTTAGATCTATCAACATAGAAGCAATAGTGTTATCGTATTGAACAAGCTTACTCATCATCTTAATTTTGGCTTGTCCAATTCTATGTTCAACATTATCACTTGAACTAGTTCTTGGACGAGTATTTGTAAGGGAATCATATTCTCTTTTGAAATCAGCTATCATCTCCTCGCGTTCCAATTTAATTGCTTCATTTTTTTTGGACTTTTCTGCCAGCAAGAAATTGTAATGATTTACAACGGATATTTCGGATCTTGGAGGGCTAACTTGCATAATTTTGACGTATTCTTTCTTCAATTCATCAAATTCATTTTGATATTTTTCTTCAATTTTATTAATTTCATCAAAATTATCATCAAACATATCCAAATTCTTTGAAGATTCCGAGTTTAGTTTAGATTGGAAGTCTAAAAACTCTCTTTGAATTTTTTGAGAAGCGATTTCAAAATTTATATCAGATTTAGCTTTCATTGATCCATATTCTGCATCAAGCTTCTTTGATTCGGTTTGGAAATTGGTCTCAAATGAACTTTTTAACTTATAAATTTCTGCATCTTCTGTTTCTTTCAATGTACCTATTTTTGCATGATAGGCACCGATTAATCCTGATAAAGTAGCCTTATATTTCTTGATTTCAATCTCAGAATTTTGAGATTTTGATTTTATTGATTTATTATTTTCAATTTGGAACTTTTTTGAAGCCATTTCCTCTTCTAACTCCTTCTTATACTCAGATATATCATTATCGTACCTGTCTTTTGTTTCTTTTACGATGTCATCAAAAGAATTTGCCATTTCTGCTTGTTTTCGAACCAATTTTGCAATTATATCATCAGCTCTTTCTTTAAATATTGATAATTCAGTCATCAAATCATTTATTGAAGTGTTAAGTAAACTAATTTCTTGTTTTTGATTATTTTGAAGGTCAAGAGCTTCTGGAGAAAATTTCTGACGTATTGAATCAGTTTCTGAACTCTGGCCAAATATATCTTTATCATATAATCGACTAAGATGTTCATACTCTGATTTATAACTTTTTTCTTCATTTTCAAGCTCTTTTTCAAGATCTTTGACTTCTTTTTCATGTACTTTAGCTAATTCTTCTTTTTCAAGTTCAGCTGTCGATTTTTCTTGTTGTAATTCTGATTCGAGATTTTCAATTATATTATGAAAATTTTCTACTTCTTTTTGATTATTTTCTTTCAATTCATTCATTTGATCTATCATAGCACGAACTCTCGAATGGAATCCAACAAAATTATTTTTATTTGTATTTTCTGTTGCAGAAATTGACTTTTTAAGGGATGAAGCAGCTTCTCTGATATTATAAATCCTTTCTTTTTGTGATTTTGAAGATCTCCGACCCATATTTGGAAGAGGAGTTGAAGCTCGAATTTTTGTTTCTTCTCCTTTTTTCTTTTCTTCAAAAGATTTCATGAGATTATTGATTTTTTCTTCGGATTCACTTTGTAGTTGTGCATATCTCGTTCTATTATCTTTATCGATTGCAGCTAATTCTTTTCTGGATTGAAAAGACGCGTTTTTTATATTTTGTTGTAGCTCTGTATTGAATTTTGAGAATTTCTCGTTTATATTATTGCTTTGAGATTTGATTTCTTCATTAATTTCTGTAATTTCTGCGATTATTGCTCCAATTGCTTGTTGAATTGAATTTTCCCATGAATCAAATTCTTTATTTGATTCATTGAATACATGATTGAATCCTGTTTTTAAAATGTCATATTTTCTATAAAAAGATTTATGTACAGAATCGATATTTAATCCAACATTGATGTTATTAATGATTCTTGTTGCATTTTGCTCATAATTATCGAAAATTGTGCGTTCGTTTGACTGATAATCTTTCGATAATATCTCAACTTGAAATCTCTGTTCATCTAAATTCACTAATAAGTATTGTATAACCTTGTGCAGTTGCGAAAGCTTCTTACACATGTTATATTTGGAGATTTCTGGGTCGCTCATCTATCCGAACCCTCTCCAATATTTACTAACGTGCATATTTTCAGCGAATTGAGCAGATTGTCAAAACATAATCACCAAAGAGTAAAATATAGTTTTCCTTGATAATATCCTCCCAATGTGAGTAATTTTGATGGCCGATTTAATTTGTTAATAAAATCAAGTGGAATCTATGAAAAACATATTAAATTCGCCGATGCACATTAATGAGCTACACAATTAAACCTTTTCCAAACAATATTTTTTCGATTCATTCAAAATCGGAATGAAAGAGCATTGATTAAGAATTTTCAAGTGTGCACAATGATAAAGACAGAACTCACACTATTAGAACTCTTCTGTTCTAAATTCATATAAGTTTTTTAATATTACCGTTTTCCGTTCTGAATTGTTTTCAAATTTGAGGGGAAAACGGAAATATTATTAACCATTAAAAATCCAAAAACGATAAGATGAATTTACTCATAATTCAAAGAATGCATTTATTATATTTTTTTTCTCACAATCTTTTTTTTTTTGAACAAAAATATGAATGACAATAATTTTACTCCAACTCCAGTAGTGGAGCCAAAAAATAATAATCCGGCCGCACAACAAGAACCAGGGGCAATAGTTGTTGAAGAGATACCGGAATATGATTATCAAGATTACATTAATCAACTCGGAAATAATAATTATCAAACTCCACAAGACGATACTGACATAACACAAGAAAACACAAACACAACACAAGAAGATGTAAACACAGAACAACCAAATATCAACACAGCACAAGAAGCTCCTCAAAATCCACAAGATGATACCGAAAATCAAGAGGAAGAAGATTTATTCACATGCCCTATTTGTATGGAAGAACTACACGATCCAGTTGCAACTCCATGCGGTCATGTTTTTTGCAGAAGATGTATTGAAGAATGGCTTATTCGTTCAGAATGCTGTCCAAACTGCAACGCACCAAACATAACAAAAGATTCGCTGATTACTATTCGAGGACAGGGCGAAGCCGAAAACAGACCCGAATTTGATAACTCTTACAAGAATAATAGATGGTATCACAAAACATATAGATATTTCAAGAAAAACTATATCTCTATTCTAATTATTATTCTATTTTGTTTGGTGTGTTTGGTAGATTAATTCCAAACTCTATTTTTTCCTCCAGTAAAGTGTAATGTTTTTATTTTGATTTACTTGTTTCATTACTTATCTGATACAATCTTAAACTAGTTCGAAAAGAAGTATGTAACTAGTTATTATGGAAATTTGGAACTTGCACAGGCTTCTATTTTGACAAATATGCAATAAATTTATCCTAAATGCATTTGTTCTGTTAATTTTACAGATTATTATTTTCTAAGTTGAAGACCATCTTGGATTTCTCAAATGTGTTGATTTCATTTAATTGTAAGTTATATAGATAAGGCTAGAACTTGTAAGGGTTATCAAGTAAGTCAGGAATTTCCAAATTATTTTTTGTCGAAAACAAAAATCTTTAAACACGCGCTTTTCCAGAGAAGAATGATGAATGCTGATTAACACCGGACTCTTATTATGTTTCCAGGCATGTATAAGTTCTCGAGATTTTATTACTGTGAAATTCTTGGAAATTGTTGATAGTCCTTGGGTTTGAGAAAAAATGTATCTGTTACAGTGGGTTTTAGGCCCTTTAAGCTTGAAAAATGTTATTAGATTTGGAATGGTAATATTCATCTGTTCGCTTCATTCAATTTTAACACATCTATTACTATCCTTAAGGATAACAGATCATCTCCTAAAGTAATTTGCAATTAACTATTGATCAAATCGAGCGTAAATATTTCCGGTATATGATTTGACTCTTTTTTCAATGTTTGAGACGATTTAAGATTTAAATATATTAATTTCAAAGACAAGAATTTTTTGCGACTATTTTTTTTTCGGAAAAAAACCGGTAAAAACGACTTAAAAGTTGGACTTTATAATCGGCAAAGTTTAAAATTTTCAATGCTAAGCTTTCTCCTTTGTTCTTCTCTAAGCAGCGAAATTACAATTGACCCAGGAATGTCTACAGTCGAAGTATCATATTATTTAACCACAATAAAATTTAGTACTCGGGCCACTTATGTTTGCATATTAAATCCGAAAGAATTTGTAGATGTAGATCTCAATCAAATAAAATCAGTATATGAAGATATAAATTCATTGGATATGAGAGCAGATCATAAAGAAACAGCGACTTTATATATATTTTATATTACAGAGTATTCATCCGGATTAACATTTGTCGTTCTTTCAGGAAAGACTGAAGCTAAACTGATGAATTTTCCACGTTCTAACGGTATGGTGAATAAGGATCTTATATTCTTATCTTATACAAATTGCGACATTGAATACTTTGGAACATATTATAAATCTTCTAGTAGGTGTATTGATGAATACAGTGTATACTATGAAGAAAATGGCCAACTTAAAGAAACTGTCCCAACAAGAGACGAAGACTTCAAAACCATTACAAATACTAGATATGTATGGGTAAGAGTATATAAATGTCCAAAGATTGCAAATAGCAATTATGGGATAATTTTCAAACAATTTTCAGAAAATAAAATTAATGAGCCAGATGGATACAAGCCAGGTTCATATTCATCGTCAGATGGAGGATCAATTATTGATGTAGATCAAATTATTCGAAATGTAGTTGAAAAACCTATTATTATCGACTATGCTAGGACAATAATATTATTTGATGAAAAAGTCTCAGTCACTTATCATACATCTCCAACATTAAGGAACGACTTTGAAAAATATCCTGTTGACTTTAATTCTATTAACATTTATCTTCACGAAGAAAACTATACATATGATAATGTTTCATTAATAGTAGTTCCAAATTATTATCCAAAATTTACGATTTTTGCTACACCTATGGACAAAAATTCATTTTATAATTTATTGAATGATGGAAAATATCATGATTCAGTCGATAATTATTTTGCAGATAATCTCAATAATTTCAACCCTTCTCTAGGACATAATACAATATATATTCTTCCAGACCAACAAGTTACAATTGTTAAACCAGATATTCCAAAATTATCTTTCATTTTAGTTAACAAAGAAGATTATTTTGATGAAAACAATGCAAAAATCGAAACTCATATCGAAAACCTTGATCATAATATTATTATTAAACCATCATCTCAAGTTCGAGTTTTTGAATTCTATTTACTTAACATGACAGATGTAGATCAATACATAATTTTATACAAGAAGCTTAATGATACAATAACACTTGATCATAGATCAGTCGATTACAATGTCAATTGCCTTGCAGTTTTCAGCTTGAAGGATCCATATGAGGAAAAATATTATGATTTATATTCTAATATGGATGACTATTCAGAATCCCACAAACTTTTAAGGTTTTGGAAGCTTCACTTTTCTCAAACAAAAACTAATGATTATTTCCAAATTAAACCAGTTACAATAAAGGAAGATACATTACGTGATAGTTACCATGAACAAAGTAAAACTGTCGATCACCTAATTCTAACAAACGTACAAAAAATATCTTTTTCTATGTCAATAAAGTGCAAGTTAAATTTAAACAAATCAATTCATTGCCTTTAAACAAAAAATATGATACCGATATATTAATTTCAGATACAAGAACCCATCCTATTATGATTGAAGATTCTAATAGTTTCTATGATGAAAATGGGGAAAAATTATTAATTGCCTATGCAAATAAGAAATTTCTAACTATATCCAAAAATTCTCCAATATTTCAATGGTCATGGGACGCAACTATCAAAATTAAAGTTTACGGTGAAACAAATGGGGATTTCATCGAGTTTATCGATTTATCATTAACAAAAGTATATTATATAGGCAAGAAAATAGATGGTTTTTATACAATTTCCATTATTCCAATTATTCCAAAGAATTCCATAGATAGCGATTGTTATATGGTTTTTGAATATCCAAAAGCTACCAAAATCGAATATTCAAAATTTCAAATGTATGAATTTAATAAATATTCTAATGCATATTTATATGCCTCATCCAAAACACCCGCAGATATAGATTTCTCAAGAGTTGATAAATCATTATGTTCTGGTTTACTCGCTTGCAAAGATTTTTTACCTTTTGATGGTTTTCTTAACGTTCCTCCTACAGGTGTCGCAACAATTACATTTTATTATGGATTAGTTATCTTTCCAGATGCTGAAAACTTTATTAACGAAAATGGTGATAAATTAGAAATTCATAATCAATTATTGATGGAACAAACCTTTAAAATAAAGAGAAATCCAAATAGAGTTTATGATCATAATCAACTCTATTATGTTTACATTCCATTATGGAACAAGATATTGTCAGCTGCGCTCGTTGTTAATTATTATTCCGAAAAGTATAATGATTATTTATCAGCTAAAAGTGGATCCATTTCAGCCAAAACCATTATTTTTGTGAATTCCCTAATGAGTACAATGAAATCTACAACAAAGTTTAGAATTATCGGAAATTACATCTCAGAAAAATCCAGTTCAGAAGCTATTAATGAAATACCAAAAATGCGATATGCTGTTATCGCACCAACACGTTATATTTATGCTGGTGATAAGATTTTTATCAACAGTTATTACAAAGATTCGCCAATCCATGAATATAACTACTTTTCTAAAAATAATTGGTATGATAACGATTTTGTAAATATATCCGCTAATTCAGTTTCCGAGTTTACATTTCATGATGTTGAATATCCAAAAATAGGTAAATTTGATGTAAGATTGACCTCAGAGAATAAAGTATTTCAGATCGAAGAAGGAACATCTGTCTCGTTATATTCAGAAGATTTCAAAGGTGTTTTGGCCATTGCAAAAACTGAAGGTAAAGAAAAGGATCTTCTGAAATATGGAATTATGAATGTCGATTTTAAGGGAAGTGGACAACTTTTATTAAGCTATAATGGAGCATATAGTTCCAAGACCATTACAATCAATATGTACAAGAAACCAAAAGAAGTTTGCGAAGAAGTTATTGTATTCGGATCGTCATCGATTTCATTTACAACAAAGGGAATTCCTTCAGAAAATATGGTAAAAATACCAAAAGATTCACCAGTCTGCTTATATATTTTCTTCTCCTATGGAGGAACAAAAATCCAAATTCTCGATTTAGATAGTTTTGCCCTTACTCTTTCGAGAATATTTGAAACCTTTTCTTCAAAAGTTACTCTGTCCACAGAAAACACTTATGATGAGCCAATGATGATTCGCATACAACATCCTGATAATGATGAAGAAAAAACATTCACAATCAATATAGAAAATCCTTATTCCGTTGAAAAATCATATATTCTATCAGCTAATAGTACTTACAAGTCTGCTTCATCATCTGAATTAGATAAGTACGTAATACCATTGGAAGAAGAAACTAAGAAAGATGAGGAAGAACCTAAGAAAGATGAGGAAGAAGTCAATAATTCTAGTCCAAGTTTAAGTACGCCAACAAATGCTCCAACAAATGACATGATTCAAGAAACACCATCTAATAACAAAGGCAAAACAATTGGTATAGCTGTAGGCGTTGTCGCAGCCACATTAGTCATTGCAGCTGCCATTGTAGTAGGATTTATTCTTTTAAAGAAGAAACAAGAAGGAAATACTCAAAATGATGAAGAAATTAATTCGGATGAGAATAAATCCGAAAACGAAATGGACATATAAACAGTTCCATTTCAACACTTAATTTTTTATTGCAATAAAAACATTGCAAATTTTACATTTTTATATTTTTTTTTCAATCTTCTTTAGAATAGATCTGCTAGTTTTTTTATATATAAACAAATATATGGGCTCACAAAACTAATCCAATTGAGAACAATTCAAATTAATGGGCAAACCTCCCCCAGCGAATGAAAACGAGGAAAATTCATCTCCACAGAATTCTGACATACAAAGTTTGATTGACAATATGATTAAAACTCCTTTAAGTCCTGAAAATGAAATCAAATTTAAAATTCTTCTTAATACATGCTCATATACAGATTTAAATGAAGCTCTAAGTTCTATTTTAGCATCTTTAATACAATCGTTTCATGAAAAAGCAAACTTAAAGCAAGGATCGGACTACAAATTTTTTATATTAAAGCCATTATCTGAAATACGCTATTCAATTGACGAATCATTAATGACAGATGATAATATGAAAACTATTAATAGTATTGTTCCTAAGCTCAGCTTTGATTCTTTATATTATCTTTCATTAATACTAAAAAACACGATAATCTCTCCAAATCTTAAACAATCAAAACCACTACAAAAATTTATGGACGTTTATTATGATTCCATAGATAGATTATGCAAATTTTACATTGATGAATTTAAAGATAAGAATTACAAGAAATTACATATGCTAATTCCAATATTTGACTCATTTATAAATACAGCATCCTATGATATTCCGCTTAAATTCACCGCAAAAGGAAATTTTTCAAAAATAATTCAATCAATTCTTTCGATTGATCTAGATCCAGATGTTTTTCGAACATACAAAACATTTCTTTCGCTTAAAATTAAGTCATACAGGCTTCTTTCTTATGATCCAACAATTATTGATACAAATTTAAATGATTTACTTATTGATGCATCGAAACTCGCATTAAAGATAGTTTCTCCATTATTGGATAAGCTAAATGAACTCCAAACCGTTTTAATTTTAATTATTACGAAAATTTCGGAAAAAAAGGAAGAATCAACCGAAATCATGCAATCAGCTCTTTCACAAATATATTCTTTATTTAATCACTCTCCACAATACAGAATTTTTGCAATCAAAATTTTGGATCAAATTTGTCAACAATTTCCTGATATATTTAAAGATTCATCAACATATGTTCATTGTATCAACAAATTTATACAAGATCCTGTAATTAATCCAATGAAACGTTTCAATATTTTAGAAAATTTAATTGATGCCATACAATTCACAAATGACAACGATTATGTAGCACATATGAGTTTTATACAAGTATCAATTGGTTCTTTGATGAAAAAATATTTTAATAATTTAAAAAATTTTGTTGATCAGAAAACAATTGAAAACCACAAAGAAATATATGAATTATCAGAAGACATGTATCATGCGATGATAATTTATGAGAAAATTGTTGTTCCTGAGAAACAAGTTTCAATAATTTTGGATGAATCATTCAAAAGTGCTCGAGAAATCATGGATGTTTATGAATACAATCTTAGATTCATTACATTATATCAGACATACATAAATTTCTTTTCTAATTTCACAAAGGACTCAGTTATTCCAAATAATTTTGATGATCAAGCGAAATTAGTTTTAATTTTATCAGAATTGCAAAAACAATGTGATAATTTAGTAAAGATACTACCAATACTATACAAAAACATGCCAAAACCAATAATCGAAGACATTTTTACAAATTATTTTAATAATTGTTTTGACGAAGGACTTTTCACGTTAATTAAGTTTGGATATATGGAAAACAGGGATTTATTTGGTGAAATCTTCAGAGTTTTGATTGTTGAATCATCAGAAAGGATATTAAAGAACAACAATGTCAGAAAACAATTAATTTTTATCAGAAATTGGGTGAATTACGTAATAGAATGGCAACAAACAATCAATACAAAGATTGTTGCAAATGATGTTGATTATATAATGTATGCATGCGTTATAACTATTTCTAATCACACATATTTCGAAGATTCCCTCAAAACATTACTTTCTATTTTCAGTTTTCTGACAATTTTCCAGATAAAGAACTCTTTTTTGCCTGTACCGACAAATGTAAGGGATATATTGACTGCCTCCGTTAATTATGACATATTTATACCAGAACTAACTGATTTCTTGAATCATGCTTTCAAAGCTGAACCAAAATATTTATGTGACCAAATGATTTGTTCATTTTTAATTCAAGCTCTTCCAAAAATGCCTGAACAAATATTGTCAATTTTAGCGAAAATAAGAAAAACAGATAGAAAAACATTAATAGAAGCAGAAAACAAATCTTATTTACTTTTATGTTTGAAGAATATTTTGAACAAATTGGATAACGAACAAAAAAGAATTTCTTTGAAAATTATTTCTGACATTTATAATTATTGTGATACTCCGTATCGAATTCCTCAAAGTTCTGAAATTGTTGATCACAAAGTAATTGACATTGTTGGTGATTTCGCAATTGTTGTAACAGAATTTAATTCTATCGTTAACGGTTTATTACAAAATATTTTGAAAACACCAACAAACAAATTGTTTGATCTACTTGAAATGGTTTTGACACCTTATTTGAAAGAAGTTATTTGGTCGGACGATAAACATCGTTTTGTGTCAAAAATTTTCTGTCAAATAATTGAAAATTGCGAAGAAAATAGTTTTTATTTCTTCAAGAAATTGATAGACAATACGAAAAATTCTTTTATTTTGTCACATATTTATTTTGCTGTTTCTAACTTTGGACCTTTAAATGAAAAACTAGCGAAATTAGTTTTAGATCAAATAGAAACAAAAGAAGATTTTGTTAACCTAATAACTAATGCAACACTTTTCTTCGAAATGAAGATATCAATGGGAGAATCAACAAGAATTTTGTTATTAAAATCAATAACAAAATTTGCAAATAGAAAAATTATTGATGTTCCTTCGTTTTGTGATTTTATTTGTAGATTAATTAATTCAGACATTATTCCTGATAATAATTGTAGATATTCCAAATTGTTGTCTGTTTATGAATTGAGATTAATGCCGAAATGGTTACAAAAAGCAACTTATTTTTGCAAAGAAGTTTTTAATGAACAAAATGAAAAAGAAGATGGAATTAAATTATTTGAAAAACTGTTAATGAGAAGAAATCCTTATGAAGCAATGATTTATATTGAAGTATTAGAGAAATACAAAGAAAAAGAAGTAATCGACAAATATATTTCTCTTTATTTCGATTCTTTCATGGAAATTCCAAATATAGAAATGGCTCAAATTCTTTCAATTTTGTTTAGATTTAATACGAATTTAATCAGTAAATTTGCTGATAGAATGAACAAATACATGACAGACAAATTTGTTAATGAATGGCCGGAAATTATCATTGAATTTGGAATACCTCTTATTGATCAAAGTTTGACTGAATATAAAATACAAACTGATTTTGTTTTGGGATCTATTGATCCGAAATTTGGAATTATTGTTCCAAGACATGCTGTTTTATTAGCACAAGCATTGATGAAAACATCTCCTGAACAAAATGAAGAAATTATTTCTTTCATTGATGAACATATTTCAAGTGTTTCTGAAATGAATGATATGTTTACTAATTCTGCAACAATTACTGAATTATTTGATTCTTTCTTGGAATTGGCGCCACAAAAATTCACAAAACTTTTGGAACAATGTTTGGAAAGATCTACAACAATCGATGATGATTTCCCTTCAAAAGATGATGCAATTGAAGCTCATTCTTTCATTGGAACATTGATTCATTTGGCTTCTCATTCAACAATTCTAAAACAAGTAAAAGAACAAAAACTTTTTGACAAATTTGTATCAAAAATGTCAAAAATTTTCGAAATTTTGCCATCGTTAGTGACAGATTTGACAATTGAAGATTTCTGGAATTTCGCAAAGTATTTTGATGATTCTCTATTTAATTATTTCAAGAACAACAATGATATGAGTTTCCTCACAGTATTACCTGAATTTTTATTAACAAAGAAATCTGATTTCTTCACAAAACAACTCAAAAACGATTTATCTTTGTTGAAACGAAAATTAAATTCAAAGAAACAAGAAGCGGTTTTTATCAATTTATTATTGTCACTTTTTGAAAAAGAAAGCAACGAACAAATTACAGAAATCATAACTAAATACAAAAGTACAATTCATGATACAAAAACAGATGCGTTTCTTTTATCAAGAATTACTGAATACTTAAAAACAACTAAAAATAATAATCAAAATGAACAAATTAAATATGAATTTATTCCAGGAAATAAAACATCTCATAACATGACAATTCTTAATTTCTACAAGAACTCTATTAGTGATAACAACATTTTCAAGACATTTATTAAGAACATTGATATCTATGACAATGGAAAACTCAAAGATTTAAATATTGATTGTGATTATTTAATTAAAATAATCAACAAAAACATGTCAGATGGAATTTTCCTGTTCAAGATGTTTAACTTCATTGGAAGTAACATGGAATCGTTTAGTAATCATATAGACAAATTATATCATTACTTGCAAATCGTATTGTTTACATTTATGAATATAAATCACGAAAATTTCAAGAATTTGTCAGTTTTCATTAAACCGATTTGCAACATTCTTAAAACGAAATCAACTGAAAACATGAATAGTTTGTTCTTGGATATACTTTCTAAAATGCAAGACCTTCATTCTGATGATAATAATGATATAATCAAGTTTTATCCGATGCTTGGAGAATGTATTTCTGAATTACCAAAAATAAATTCACAAGAAATTTTTGAAAAAACACATCAAGTTTTGCAAAAATTGCTTTCAGGTAAAAAAGATGAAAAAGCAATTTTAGCAGTATTAACATCTATTTTGTCAATGACGAAACACATGGATATACAATCTAATTATGTAGATCTTTATGCTTCAACTCTTTCTTCAGAGAATTTTGAAATTTCTCTTCAAACTTTTAGAATTTTACAAAAATTCATTCATATTGAAATGGTTAGAAACATATTATCTGATAAATTTGCAACAATGAGAGAAATAGGAAAGTGTTTATCAGTTATATTGCTTTGGAAACAGAATATGCCAGTAGATTTTTCGATTTCTTATCTTTTGAAATCGAGTTTAGAATTTTCTTTTCATTCTGTTGCTCAAAATTTCTTGACATCTTATGTTTTCTACAATGTTTTCTCAAGTAACATTGAGAATTCTTTGTCTGTATTATTAACATATGTTAATGATGCAATAAGCAGCAAATCAGCAAACAAATTAAAAGCTGTTTATAATGCTTTGATTAAGTTAATGAAAGATAAAAACAAAATTGCAGAAAAAATCTTGGGTTCATTAACTCAAAACAAAGATTTTGTTTCTGTTGTTTGTGATAAGAATATTAATGAATTCTCTAAATTAGAAACAAATGTTTTAGAGTTACTTCCTCAAATTCCAAATTGTTCTATTTGTTTCGAAAACAAATTCCCTGAAAATTCAAAAACAAATATTGTTGTGGCCGCTCAAACATTGTCGAAGTTATTTGATATAAGTCAATTTGATTCATTAAGGATTTTGTCTTATTTCACAAAAATGGAAATCAAATTATTGGCAAAAATAAAAATTGAAGAAAAGAATGAATTTCTTCAAGTAAAACTTCGACAAAGTTTCGATTCAGAACTTGGAGATTGGGATAAAACAAAAGTTAATTTAAGTGACAATCCTGATTTCATTGATTCTACTTATGAAATCATTCCAAAACCATTGATTTATAGTCATCATCTTTATTTCGACAAAGCTTTCAAATCATTAACAGATTACAATGATGAAATGACTGCTGCTGTTTCTTCTATGGCTCTACAAAGAGGAGAGAGGTCAATATTAAGGACTTTCTGTGACGGATTGCCAAGAGATCGTGTTCCTTCTCAAGAATTGTTCGGAATAATTAAAAAACTCAAAAATGAAGTGATTCCTTTGACAAAAAGTGACGAAATTTGTCAATTTGTTGTTATTTCTCAAGTCAAACAATTTATTAGATCGATTTCTAAATCGAAGGGAATTCCAGACTTTGTTATTAAGATATCTCCAGCTGAAATGACTGAAGTACAAAATAGTTTTGAATCTATTTCACAAAAAATCAATAATTTGACAGGAAAAATTTTACCAGTAAAGCCAAATTTGATTGAGAAATCAAACAAATGTTTCATGATGAATCAAGATGAAGAAAATGATATAGCAGAAAAGAACGAATCACAACTTTTAACATTTATGTTAAGTTGTCCAATAAAAGATGAAACAGAATTAAAGTTTTGTTATCCTTTAATTCGTCAAATTCTCGAAAGAAACATGAAATCATTTGTTGCTTATTCTGCTTTATATTATCTTTATAAAAATAATTTGATTTCCGGCAAGAAGTTGATGACTTCTTTAGTTCCAATTGCAAGAATTCCTGCAGAGTTTTCACATTTATTTGCTCAATTTGTTAACAAAGAAAATCCAAGTTTAGAATCAAGAATTCATCCTGCTTTTAGTTTCGTTATCCATCCTGGGAAAAACAAATTTGTTCAATTAGTTCTTCGGAAATCAAATGAAGAAAGATATAAAATACTAATAGACAAATCTCAAAAAGATGAGTTCAAAGAAACATCTTATTACGAAAGATTCTGTTTGCAAAACATTTATCCTTTGTTGGAAACACATTTACAAACAGATATAATTGAGATTTCCTTTAAATACTCATCATTGGATGCAAATTATTTAAGTGTTTCTGCACTTTTATACACTGGAGAAAGAATTAATTATTTAGTAACAAATCAACCATTTACAACTCCAGAAAACACGACTGCAGCAAGGGAAATAACAAGGATATTTGGAAGATCTCCTTCTAGTTTAATGAGGAACCAAAGATTGATGTATTTCGATTCAGAAAAGTTGTCTGATGATTGTTATTTAACAAGAACAGATAATTTACCTTTTGTTAAAAACGAATCTGCCGTTGAATTTAATTCCATTCAATGCTTTGATAACAAGAAAGAATATGTTGAATGGATGACACAGTTTGCATATAATTATGCTGCTCTTTCTTCTATTTTGTATGTAAGAAATGCAGAAACATTCAACGGACATAAAGCATTGCTTGACAAGAGATCAGCAAATGTCAGTCAATTATTCATGGAAAGATCAGAAAAACAAAATGTAATGAAGGTATTTGACGTGAAAAATGTTTTAATAGGTCCATTTAGAAATGCATTCATTTCTGCATGCGATGCATTATCATTGAAGAGTGTGAGAATGAGAATGATTGGTGTTTGTTTGCTCTCTGATACAAAAGAAGATGCAACGAAAACTGAAAAAAAATCACATTATTTATCTCTGAGAAATAATGATTCTGATGTTTTGCAAGAGAGAATTAATAATCTCATCACATCAACTGATACAAAACCATTCTCATGGTTTATTTAATTTATATCTTTTTATTATTTTATAAAGTAAAATTGTTATTTTTATTATATCAATCATTATATAAATTCAAGTTTTTACTTTCTTATTACAGTTGATTTAGGCTTACAAATAGATATAAAAACGTATATTCACATGTGATATATTATTTAGTAAGATATTGCCAAAAAATTTCATAGGATTGCTGTAGAATCTTATGAGGGCTTCAGAATTACCTGAACTAGGAATAACATGACATAGAATAATAAGTTGTTCTGAAATTCCTGATTTGTTAATCATTTTCAGATAATCAGAAGATTTGTTTTCAATAATAAGTGCACATTGAATTGAGTTGCATGCGTTGAATGCAAGTTGTTCAACAGTTTTAATTGAGAGAGGGAAATTAATATATTTGAGTTTATCACAGTTATTGAGTGAATATTCTTCAATCAAAGAAACACTGTTTGAACTAATACTTATGTTCTCGATGTTCCTGCTATAATTGAATGAATAACTACAAATAGCAGTACATTTGACAAATAGAATTTTATCATTTGAATTACTCAAATGATAAATTAGATACTTACCTGTATCATTTTTATAGTAAAGAGTATTATCAATGCAATCATATTTATCTGATGAAAAATCATTTATATCAGTCAATGAATCGCAGCCAGAAAACGAGTTATTTGAAAAATATTCAAGATTATTTGATTTATTGAATGTGATCTGACTAAGTTTCGTACAGTTAAAAAATGAATATTCTGAGATTGTTCGGATTGAAGACGGAATGCTAATTCTCTCTAAAGAAATACAATTTTCGAATGATCTAGCTCCTATCATTGTTAATCCATCTCGCATGTAAACATTTTTCAAGTTAAAACATCCTGAAAAACAATTTTCGGATATATTATTTATATTATATACTATTTCTAACTGAGTGCAGTCTTTAAATGCATTGATGCTTAATTCAAAGTCAGTCAATGGAAAGCGTACATATTTTAACCCGGTGCAATTTACAAATGCTAAAAATCCTAAGGAGTGCAATTGAGTATTCTCAAAGTTAATAGAATAAATGCTTGTACAATTTGTAAATGAGTAAGGTCCAAGTTCTGAAAATCGGGATTCTTTTTCAAATTTTATACTGCCAAGAATTGAATTTTGAAATGCTCTTTCTCTGATTTTTATATAAGATTTAGGAATTGTTATTCCATAATAAATGGATGTGTGATATCCCCAATATTCATAAACTTCTGTTTGTTCTGAATTAGATATCAACAAATTTGAATCAATAATAAGATCTTGTCCTTCAAAGTATGAAATCGAAATATCCGTATTTCTGGCTATTGATTCAAGAGAAAATAAGATTTTACATGTAAATGATAATTTCAATTTTGGAGAATTTTTGGTACTAAATAAGCGTTCTGGAATATTCATTGTTGAATTAGGAAATGATATTAATTCAAGATTATCGCAATAATCAAAAGGCTGACTTCCAATAAATTCTACAGGTTCTATAAATGTAACATTTATCAAATAATCGCAATTCCAAAAAGCACAGTTTTCAATTATTTTTACAGTTTTTGGAATTGTTATTGTAACTAGATTTGATTCAGAAAAACTCATTTCTCCAATAGATGTGATGTATTCAGGAATTTCAAATGTTTTTAAAGATTTGTTACATATCAAGATTAAAATACTTTTATTTTGGGATAACAAAGCGTCATTGAAAACAATGAAATGATTATTATTGGGATGAATAGTGAGGTTTGTCAATATGCATCTGCTAAATGCATTTCCATTGACTTTAGTAACTTTTTCTGGAATTTGAAAACAAGTGATATTAGTACGAGAAAATGTATCCCATACTAGCTCAGTTAAATTTGAACCCTCTTGGAAATACACTCTTTCAAGTTTTTTGCACATGGCAAATGCCGCAAATTCTATAATTTTGACTGATGCTGGGATTGTAATACTTGTTAATAAATTGTTATTTGAAAATGATTGTCTCCGAATCTCAAGAAGTCCATTAGGCAAGAGTATCTTAGATACATTATAACAATTGTAAAAAGCACTACTCGATATTACCCTGAGTTTACTGCAGGATGACAAATTAATAGTAGTGAGGTTCTTACATTCATAAAATCCAAGATTTCCAATTGTGGTTAAATTTGGATTTTCTTGAAAAGAGAAAGATATTAAAGTATTAAGAAAATAAAAGCAGCTATTTTCAATTTTTTCACATGCTGCTGATATTCTAAAGTACGGAGAAGTATCTTTGACAATTTTGAGTGTTTTTCCATCATTTGAATAACAGCTTTTGTTGATATCTGTATATAAAGGATCAATATCTATAGTCATAATGAATCATCACATACAGTTTCTACTTTGAATTCGTTTATAAAAGTAGTTATGAATATAGATACAAGGTGATGTGAATTTTGCATCCCTGGGATGGACGATACACCCAAAGTGTCACCTTTTTGGGATAACAAAAATTTATATATATGAGAGTTCTGCAAATCATATGCACAATATCTATTCTGCCTGACTTCTTGTATATAGGAGTCAGGCTGAATAGATATTGTGCATGTGGCAATATAAGTATTTCCGAGATTGCCATCGTGCGCTATAGTACACTACTTCTCCTTGGTCTAGCTCGGTTCCAAGGATATCGGTGTTCAAGGATTTGGCAAGGTCCTTCTGAAGTCTCTCATTCGATGAGAGATTTCGGAAGAACCTTGCCTTAGAGTATTCCAACTCTTGTTCTCTTGTCCCTGAATAGTCAGAAAAGCTATTTGACTACTTAAGGCAGAGATTATCCGAGGTCCCTCATTTGATGAGAGGCCTCGGATAATCTCTGCCTTAAAGTTGTACACTTGTAGTCCATCAGAATGTAAGTATACACGGATAGGACAGCTTTCTTCTGAAGTCTTAGATTTGATGAGAAGCCTCAGAAGAAAACTGTCCTATTTTATAATAGGAGGAGTTTCAGAAGCTCCAGAGCTCCCTTTCGTAAGGAATAGGAGCTTTGGAGCTCCTGGTTCGAAGATGTGCTTCGCATCTTTCATCAGCATAGGATATTTATCAACTGGGACTCTGTTGATGAAGACTCAGGAGCTCCAAAGCTCCCTTTCGTAAGGATTAGGAGCTTTGGAGCTCCTGGTTCGTAGATGGGCTTCGCATCTTTCATCAAAAGAGGCCCAAATGGTAAATATCCTCTGCTGATGAGCTTCAGGAGCTCCAAGGCTCCCTCTCGTAACGATTAGGAGCTTTGTAGCTCCTGAAGGTAAGGTAGGATTGCTCTGATCTCTAATCAGTAGATGCCATGCCTCATTATGGACTCTACTGACAAGAGATCAAGAGCTCCAAGGACTCCCTTTTTATCTAGTGGCATTCTCACCATTTAGTAGGATCGCTGATCCTACTAATGAAGTGATCACTTAATATACGTTTTGAATAAATTGAATTTTTTTACAAAAATTTAGTATTTTTTATAAACATCACATATATATTATAAATACGTAAATATATTCTTTAATTCAAAAAATTCAATTCGGTTTCGGGCTGGGTATCCCAGCCCCAAGTATTCAATTTTATTCAATTTTTTTAGAATTTTGGGTTGGGGTGCCCAGACCAAAACAAACTTTATATTTTGATGTGAAGATGCGTATGTGTACATCATTATTGCGTTATATATTATATTTTTAATGAAAAAAAATCTGATTCAAAAAAAATTATCACTAATTAGTTGATAATATAAAGAAAAAATATATAAATTGTATGTTTTGAGAGTATTTATCCGCATTCACTCATATGAATTTCATTAAATAGTGTCTTTTTACTCCAAAATTTATTTTGAATTATTGAAATCAAAGAAAAAAAACTAGAAAAATTTCTCGAAATTTTTATTTTTAAAAAAATTTTGGATTTTATATTAAAAACTGACACTGGGAGGACGATAGGGCTGGGATTAGAGATACCCCGCTCACTTGGGAAAAATACGGATCTATAGTTATGAATCAAAACAAATTTTTTAATAAGATAATTCTTTTGACAGTTTTTACAGGCTTATTGCTTTTTTTCTCATTTAAAAAATCTTCTATCATCAACAAATCAACAAAATCACTTAAAATTTCGTTCTTAGTAGAAAATAATATTTACAAACAAAAACAAAAACAAATATAAAATCTATTCTAATTGTTGAGTGAATAATAATCGATCATAATATGCACGATCTTTCTCAATAGAGCTGTCATCAACTTTAGTTTCGATGACTCTGTGACTTGGAAGTTCTCTCTTGTTTAGTTTTCTGTTATTTCCTTTGATGACAAATCCTTTCTTTCGAACATCAGGATGAACTCTTTCTCTTGGTTTCATAAGTCCTGCGAGCATCTTCTGTTTCTCGTCTTCTTTCTTCTTAGCACTGATTCGCTTGATAACTGCTCTCTTTGTTTCTGGACCTGCTTCATCCGCTCTTCGTGACAACTCGATGTAAAAATCATAAATTGCTTTCGGTTGGTCAATTGGTGAATTCACTGATCCTTGTTGACCAAAAATGAACTCATTTAAGTCTAATACTTGTTTTGTAAGAATTTCAAGTTCATCATCTATTTCTGTTTTAGGAATTCTTTCTGTAATTTCCACTTCTTTGTAGTCATTGTTGATTTCTGTTGTTTCTTCAATGATTTTTGTAACTGATTCAAGAATTTTCTGTTTCTCTTTCAGTTTCATGTTCTCTTGTTCATTTGAAAACCTTGATAACAGTTCATCATATTGTCTGGCCAATGAAACTGCTTCAAGCTCAAAAACACTTAATCTGTCAAGAATTTGCTTTGGATCTGTAAAATAATCGAATGGATCCTCTGTACCTGGTGGAGACATTTGTAATAATGCTTCTTTATGCAGTAAACTCTGCTCAATCTGTTCAGCTGTCTTTTGATTATTCGTTTTAAGAATTCCGAGGTCTAATTCGTTCTGTTTTATTTTAACATTCGTTTCAACTGTAGAACGAGAGAATGTTTCTGCTTCTTTGACAATTCTCGCTAATTTAGCTTCATATTCTGTTGCTGCTTGTTTTATTGAGAATGTATCATCTTCAATACGATATGAATCTGCTGCAACTTGTAATTCGCGTGTCTTTTGGAGTGTGTTTAATCTTTCAACTTTTTTATTTTGTGTATCAATTGCAATATTCGTTTTACAGATCTCTCTTTTCTGTTGTACGAATTCATTCATGGTAAGTCTTCGTTTGGCAGGCATTTTCTCTCGACTTGTGTAAGATAATCCGGAATTTTTAGAATTTCTTAACTCAGTCGCACGTGTTGTAAAAGAAGAAACACGAGGAATGATTGAATTAACTCTATCTATTAGTGATGTGCGTGTTAATAATGAGTTTGTCGATCGAGATGATAGTTGATTTGGAGTATTTACTCCAGTTAAGAAGATATTTTGCTCTTTATTTACAGAAAATGGATTACCATTATTAGGGTATTCTACTGGCACGCCATCGTAAAACTGAGTCAGTCGCAATATCTCTTTTTCATCATCAATCATAAAAATTGAAACTTTAAAAAAACAAACAAAAAAGTGACATTATAGTAATAGCCTTTTTACATCCATACTATAAAACAATCGTTTTAGTATTCCTCTTGTAAGTGATACAATTTTAAATAATTAATTTGCATAAAACATATTAATATAATTTTATTTTTCCAATTTATTTTATAAGGTAGTCACAAAATCTAAGTAGTGAGGCTCTCAAAAATTGAACCGGACTCCATACAAAATTTGTGTACCCTCACTACTTAGATTTTGTGGCCTTCAATTGAGAGGTTAGTTTTGATAGAGCACGTTATAAAATTAAAAGGGAAAAATAAATAAAATTTAAACATTTAATTATATATAATGTAAGGAGTGTAATTCCAAATTTTCTAAAAACTATTCAAATTTGAGCATTTTTTTGGAAATAGTAAATCTAATATGTACATCTAATAACAACATGATTCATCACCTTTTCAAGCTCTGCAGTCAATTTTTTGAAATTTGATTGAAATAAATGTAGCAAAAATTACATTTCATTAGGGAATATATGAGTTTCTCTGGAAACAGGCTGATAAATTTTAAATTTTGTCCAATCAACATGAATGCATTGAGAAATTTGGATTGATTTTCTGGTAGAATCTGGAACAATTCAACCATGTATAAATGGATCATGTAATCATCATGAAATGTTAGTGTTAGAGTTCAAAAGAAACAGAATGAGTGGAAATCAAACACAATCTGAATAATTTTAAACGTATACAATCTTTAAGTTTGTATTTTGAATTCTACATATATGATTGTGTAATTCGTTCTTTCAAATTTTCGGATTCAGGCATGTTTTGATAAAATTCATTCCCAAAAACGTCAATTAACAATTAAATTTAGTGTATTTTAAATATATATACGTATTATATTTTATAAATTATATTAAATTCGCAAAATTTTAAGTTTTAAACAAAAATAAAAAATGTTCAAAATATGAAATTATGCATAGGATATTAAAATTTACATGTTAGCAATTTTTTTGAATTGCTTTCAATTTTCATATTGAAATTTTTAACATTTTTTTCTGAAATAATAAGCAAGAATATCAACCTAAATAATATTAAATTCCATGTGTTAATTTCCCCTCAAAAGTCATTGACCGCCTCTCAATCTAGATTTTGTGAGTACTTTATATTGAAGCAGGTGGATTTGAAATGGGTAAGAATGAATATTATCTGCACATATTTTAATCAAGAAATGGCCATCTTGAAAATAGTTAATTACATTTCGATCAGCTGGAAATGTTAAGGAAATAAAGGATAGTTTTATGGATATTACCATCTTTAATGTATTAATAAGTGTATGGTACTATACAAATATTTAAAACATTCGTGATTTGAGCATATAAAGATAAAAAATATAGGGAACTTATCTTTTATCTATCCAAGGCCATATTCATCATTTTCTATAATTATTTAATTTATATAACAATCAGTGACAGATGACCCATTCTATTTTATATAAACATGTTATTGGTCTCTGTCAGAAAATTGAAAATAAAAAGATGCAGAATAAGGGAGCCAAAATTATTCATGTATGTGAAAATAGAAATATAAATAATATAAATTTACAAGTACAAAATATACAATTCTACAGTATAATAATGAATTAATCCTGTTCTTGATTTTCATCATCAGCATTTTCATTTGAATATTCCTCTAAATCAACATCAAGAAGTTGATTATTTGTCAAATCATTGACATTAGTTTTATCTTCTGCTGATGATTTGCTGTTTGGAATATCTTCAATATCATTATCGAAATCATCTGATTTAATTGACTTTTCTGATGGAGCAATTCCACTTTCATCATGAGTTCCTTCATTTTCTGTTGTTCCAAGACTTTTTCCAATCTGATTAATCTGATTTTGGACCCATTCGTCCCATTGTTTTGTTCTGATATTGGGACTTTTGCTACTTGAAGCATATCCATCTGAAAAACTGTGTTTGATTGTGTTAAATTTCATTGGTGAACTGAATTCATATGTTTCTTTGGTTTCATGGATATTAACATCATTTGATGAATATGTTGGACTTATATTTTTATGCAAATCTTCTTCTGAATCACTTGTATTATATGATTTTTCAGATTTCTGAATATTTTTGGATTTTGAAACAGAATTTGTGGAAGTATCATCGCTATCAATATCTTTAGGAGGTATTTTGAATGAAGAAGCTCGTGAAATTGTGGATATCGAATCATTTGTTTGAGAAGCACGACTTTTTCTTCTGGAAGTAGTATTCTTCATTATAGGAACTATGATTTCATCTGAAGATGTTTCTATTTTTGTAGTTTTCTGTTCAGATTTGTTAATCTTTTCTTGTGAAATGCTTTCAGAAGAAGTTTTCTGCATATCAGTATCACTGTGATCACTTCTTAAAGGATTATCAAAAATAAATGAAGAAGTCGAGGATTTCGAGGAATTTTCAATATTTAATTTAAAGAAGTCATTAGAATCTATGTCGTCTGATGAATCTGAGATTTGGTCAAGAACATCTTGAAGAATATCCTTTTTAAGATTCCTTTGTCCTTCAGATGGCTTGTTTATTCCATTTCCAAGTAGACTTGATCTAGATTTCCGACTATTTTTAATTGGAACTGATCTTTCATCATCATAATCATCATCTGAGCTTCCGATATTCTTAAATTCAAAAGGTTCTATTTCAGATTCTTCGGAATCATTTTCTTTTTCGACTTTTGCTTTAATTCCGATAACTTTACTAAGAGAATGCATGAAATCATCATCTGAGTTATTGTTTGTCGGACCAAATAGCATTTCATTTGGCGGATTTTCTCCAAAAACTTTTTTTCTTTGAAATTCTACAAATTCGTCATCACTTCCACTTGAAGCTATCTGAAGCATATCCGAAATGTATTTGTGCACTGAGGCTTCCTTTTTTGTTGGAGCTTGTAAATATTTTTGTTGATAAATTTCAAAGAGATCTGTTGGAAATTGTTTTACATCAATTGTACTAGCATCTAACTGAGTTTGTTGGCTTGTAATAGTTTCAGATTTCCCTTGAATTGAAGAATCTGATTTTCTAGACGTTTTTGAAATAGGAATTGGTTTTGTTTTCTTAACTGTAGTAGATATAATAGGGTTTGTTCTTTTTGGAAGAGTTTTTCGTTTAATATCTGATGGTTTTCTTGATTTTCTTGGAGATAACAGTTTAATTGACTTATTTTGGTCTTCGTCAACAAGTTTCACTTTGTCAACCTCGGTTTTTTTATCCTTTTGTTTCGTTTTATTTTCCCATTTGGTAAAAACTTTCTTCATAGTTTTATTTTCAATGTTATGCTTCAAAATTTTTGGTCTTTTAGTCAATTCGTCAGCTTTTGCAACAAATTCATCAATGTTTTCTGGTTCACTTAATTGATTTTCTTCAATTTTATGGATATATCTAGATATTACTTCTTTATTTTTATTGTCTTGCATCTTCTGATATCTGAGATTCGTCCTCACTGTTCTAACAGTTTCAACAATATCTCTTTCATCAGAATTCGACATTTGTGACCGTTTATTTTTGAATACTAAATTTTATGCTTCCCATTATACGAAAACATCCATGATAAAAAATAAAAATTGTAAAATCAGGGAATTCCAAGAATTTAGAAAATAATTTTTTAAATGGCGCGGTTCAATTTTAACGACATTTTTTAACGCGATACGAGCGTAAGTCCATAGAATGTGTTTTGAGGGAAACTATAAAAATCCAAAATAGAGGTAAGTGCGCCATTATTACCTGCGAAGTTACATGGAATAAATCGAAGAGTAAGTACAAGATGATCTTGCATCTTTCCAAGTAAATGAAATTTATTAAAATTAAGATGATAATATTCATTTATAGTATGTGTATGATGTGTTTTCAAAATTTCTTCAAATAAAATGCAATGATAATTTTTGAATAATTTTTTCTTGTGTATATTTCATTTTTTATTAGTGAAAATATCATTACATCAATAAGGAAAGCACAATCCAAATTCATATTAGTTAAATTAATCTACGACCAAAAGCCCGCCAAATTTGAATTAAACCTCCAATTTAAAATTTTCAAGTCTACGGAACCATCCTTGGATCATAGTAATCATTCATTACAAAATGGAATCTTTTGGTATTGTGCGGGCGATACCATAGATTTCTTTTTATTGATAATGCTATTGAACAAGCTCATTCCGTGGATTTTCATTTAGAACTTTGTTTCATGAGTTTCTGGAACAATATAACATCTGAAACCTTTTGTGCGGGCAAAAGAAGGGATGTTTGTTGATTGAAAAATGCTCATTTAAAAGAAGTTCTGAAAAGAAATTTGGAGATGATTTGTGGGTTGTGTAAGGTGTAGGTGTTGTGATATATGTGGAATGGAATGATCCTTACCTCAGTCATTGACTCATCCTTACCTCAGTCATAGACTCATCCTTACCTCAGTCATATACTCATCCTTCCCTCAGACAAAAAGTCATCCTTACCTCAGTCATTGACTCATCCTTACCTAAGACAACAACTCATCCTTACCTCAGACAACAACTCATCCTTACCTCAGTCATTGACTCATCCTTACCTCAGTCATAGACTCATCCTTACCTCAGTCATAGACTCATCCTTACCTCAGTCATTGACTCATCCTTACCTCAGTCATAGACTCATCCTTCCCTCAGACAAAAAGTCATCCTTACCTCAGACAACAACTCATCCTTACCTCAGTCATTGACTCATCCTTACCTCAGTCATTGACTTATCCTTACCTCAGGCAACAACTCATCCTTACCTCAGTCATTGACTCATCCTTACCTCAGTCATTGACTCATCCTTACCTCAGACATTGACTCATCCTTACCTCAGTCATTGACTCATCCTTGCCTCAGACAAAAAGTCATCCTTACCTCAGACAACAACTCATCCTTACCTCAGTCATTGACTCATCCTTACCTCAGTCATAGACTCATCATTACCTCAGTCATATACTCATCCTTCCCTCAGACAAAAAGTCATCCTTATCTCAGTCATTGACTCATCCTTACCTCAGTCATTGACTCATCCTTACCTCAGTCATTGACTCATCCTTACCTCAGTCATTGACTCATCATTACCTCAGTCATTGACTCATCCTTGCCTCAGACAAAAAGTCATCCTTACCTCAGTCATTGACTCATCCTTACCTCAGACAACAACTCATCCTTACCTCAGACAAAAAGTCATCCTTACCTCAGTCATAGACTCATCCTTACCTCAGTCATTGACTCATCCTTACCTCAGACAAAAAGTCATCCTTCCCTCAGACAAAAAGTCATCCTTACCTCAGTCATTGACTCATCCTTACCTCAGACATTGACTCATCATTACCTCAGACATTGACTCATCATTACCTCAGTCATTGACTCATCCTTGCCTCAGACAAAAAGTCATCCTTACCTCAGTCATAGACTCATCCTAACTCTTGCAATAACATATATTTACTTCAATGTATGTGAAATTTTCTCCCTAACTTATCAAATATCACTCAATTACTCAATTATTCTTTCTTAATTTAACTCCTTACCAGAACTTTACATTTAAATTCAAAATGATTTTATTATATTAAATTTTCAAAACCATATTTTAGTTCAATACTATTATAGATATAACTTTGTCAATAATGAATATTTTCGCGATTTGGCAACGAAATATGAATCTCTGGCCGGTGTAGATTCAGAATCACTGGAAAATCAGATTTGGACAAGTATTCATTGAGTTATCAAAGATTTTATTCGTGGGTATAAATTAATTAATATGTGAAATAATTATATAATCAGAGACGGATATCCAACACTCAGTCTCTCTTTGACATCCAACACTCAGTTTCTCTCAGAGACATCCAACACTATAATTTCTTATATATATTCCTTAGACTGAGGTAAGGATGAGTCAATGACTGAGGTAAGGATGAGTCTATGACTAAGGTAAGGATGAGTCAATGACTGAGGTAAGGATAAGTCAATGACTGAGTTAAGGATGAGTCAATGACTAAGGTAAGGATGAGTCAATGACTGAGGTAAGGATGAGTCTATGACTAAGGTAAGGATGAGTCAATAACTGAGGTAAGGATGAGTCAATGACTGAGGTAAGGATGAGTCAATGACTGAGGTAAGGATGAGTCAATGACTGAGTTAAGGATGAGTCTATGACTAAGGTAAGGATGAGTCAATGACTGAGTTAAGGATGAGTCAATGACTGAGGTAAGGATGAGTCTATGACTAAGGTAAGGATGAGTCTATGACTAAGGTAAGGATGAGTCAATGACTGAGGTAAGGATGAGTCAATGACTGAGTTAAGGATGAGTCAATGACTGAGTTAAGGATGAGTCAATGACTGAGGTAAGGATGAGTCAATGACTGAGGTAAGGATGAGTCAATGACTGAGGTAAGGATGAGTCTATGACTGAGGTAAGGATGAGTCAATGACTGAGTTAAGGATGAGTCAATGACTGAGTTAAGGATGAGTCTATGACTAAGGTAAGGATGAGTCAATGACTGAGATAAGGATGACTTTTTGTCTGAGGTAAGGATGAGTTGTTGTCTGAGGTAAGGATGACTTTTTGTCTGAGGGAAGGATGAGTATATGACTGAGGTAAGGATGAGTATATGACTGAGGTAAGGATGAGTTGTTGTCTGAGGTAAGGATGACTTTTTGTCTGAGGGAAGGATGAGTATATGACTGAGGTAAGGATGAGTTGTTGCCTGAGGTAAGGATGAGTCAATGACTGAGGTAAGGATGAGTCAATGACTGAGGTAAGGATGACTTTTTGTCTGAGGGAAGGATGACTTTTTGTCTGAGGTAAGGATGAGTCAATGACTGAGGTAAGGATGAGTCTATGACTGAGGTAAGGATGACTTTTTGTCTGAGGTAAGGATGAGTTGTTGTCTGAGGTAAGGATGAGTCAATGACTGAGGTAAGGATGAGTATATGACTGAGGTAAGGATGAGTCTATGACTGAGGTAAGGATGAGTCAATGACTGAGTTAAGGATGAGTCAATGACTGAGGTAAGGATGAGTCTATGACTAAGGTAAGGATGAGTCTATGACTAAGGTAAGGATGATTCAATGACTGAGATAAGGATGACTTTTTGTCTGAGGTAAGGATGAGTTGTTGTCTGAGGCAAGGATGAGTCAATGACTGAGGTAAGGATGACTTTTTGTCTGAGGGAAGGATGAGTATATGACTGAGGTAAGGATGAGTTGTTGCCTGAGGTAAGGATGAGTCAATGACTGAGGTAAGGATGAGTCAATGACTGAGGTAAGGATGACTTTTTGTCTGAGGTAAGGATGAGTTGTTGTCTGAGGTAAGGATGACTTTTTGTCTGAGGGAAGGATGAGTATATGACTGAGGTAAGGATGAGTTGTTGCCTGAGGTAAGGATGAGTCAATGACTGAGGTAAGGATGAGTCAATGACTGAGGTAAGGATGAGTCAATGACTGAGGTAAGGATGACTTTTTGTCTGAGGTAAGGATGAGTTGTTGTCTGAGGTAAGGATGAGTCAATGACTGAGGTAAGGATGACTTTTTGTCTGAGGGAAGGATGACTTTTTGTCTGAGGTAAGGATGAGTCAATGACTGAGGTAAGGATGAGTCTATGACTGAGGTAAGGATGACTTTTTGTCTGAGGTAAGGATGAGTTGTTGTCTGAGGTAAGGATGAGTCAATGACTGAGGTAAGGATGAGTATATGACTGAGGTAAGGATGAGTCTATGACTGAGGTAAGGATGAGTCTATGACTGAGGTAAGGATGAGTCAATGACTGAGTTAAGGATGAGTCAATGACTGAGTTAAGGATGAGTCTATGACTAAGGTAAGGATGATTCAATGACTGAGATAAGGATGACTTTTTGTCTGAGGTAAGGATGAGTTGTTGTCTGAGGCAAGGATGAGTCAATGACTGAGGTAAGGATGACTTTTTGTCTGAGGTAAGGATGAGTCAATGACTGAGGTAAGGATGAGTCAATGACTGAGGTAAGGATGACTTTTTGTCTGAGGGAAGGATGACTTTTTGTCTGAGGTAAGGATGAGTCAATGACTGAGGTAAGGATGAGTCTATGACTGAGGTAAGGATGACTTTTTGTCTGAGGTAAGGATGAGTTGTTGTCTGAGGTAAGGATGAGTCAATGACTGAGGTAAGGATGAGTTGTTGTCTGAGGTAAGGATGAGTCTATGACTGAGGTAAGGATGAGTCAATGACTGAGGTAAGGATGAGTTGTTGTCTGAGGTAAGGATGAGTTGTTGTCTGAGGTAAGGATGACTTTTTGTCTGAGGTAAGGATGAGTTGTTGTCTGAGGTAAGGATGAGTTGTTGTCTGAGGTAAGGATGAGTCAATGACTGAGGTAAGGATGAGTTGTTGTCTGAGGTAAGGATAAGTCAATGACTGAGGTAAGGATGACTTTTTGTCTGAGGTAAGGATGACTTTTTGTCTGAGGTAAGGATGAGTTGTTGTCTGAGGTAAGGATGAGTTGTTGTCTGAGGTAAGGATGAGTCAATGA